AGAATAGAATTCTTTATTAGCCAAGTGTGGTTGGACACACAAGGAATTTGTCTTCGGTGCATAACTCTCAGTGTACATAAAAAACACATTCATCAAGAATCCTAAAATACAACACTTAGGGATAGTCATAGGATACTAAATAAGCAATCAAAATCCTACTAGGAAACTAAATAAATCAATACAAATCATAAAGATACAAAAGCAACAAGGTTATATAGTCATAAGTAGAAGGAAAGATAGGTAATAGGAAGGATGAGAAGAAGAATAGCAACCCAGTCTTAGTAGATAGAATGTGCTAATTTAATTTAGGAAACGCCATCCAAATGTTTAGAACTGTTTCAGTTGCCGTGAGTATGCAAAGCTCTACGTTTAGGGGCAGTCTACCTTGCAATGCCCCTGGCTAAGGCTGGAGGCTACAGGAAGAGCCCTCTTGGTGAGCTTCCTAGAGATATTTGGCTAGCAACATGGGCTGCTAAAGCAAGTTAAATTTTAAAAGCAATTTTTCCCCTTTACGTCAGCTGTTCTGCAGCTGAACTCCCAAAACGCTATGCTTCTGTGGCTTTCTTTACATTATCGGCCAACCCAGGGCTATTCTGTGGCCTGAAGACTATAATTTAAAGTTCTAAAGAAGGGAACATGAGTTTGTTTATTTGAACAACTGTTTGCAAGGCCAAACTATCATCTGTGCCACGCCATGATTCTGGATTGTGGTTCCTTTCTTCTCTGGCAGTTTGAGTACCCGAGGGATCTGGGGCTTTATTTTAGAGGCCACAGCATCGGGGTGTTGTGCTCACAAGGCCCAATTTATGGCAGGATCAATGCATGCTCTGGGAGGGAGCTATGTTTCGGAATCCATTTTATTCTTGCAAACAAGTAGAGTCCATTTTTCCAAGATTATTATCTACTCAAGACAGCACAGGATAAAATAGGCACCGAGATACCAATGCAACCAGCAACAAAATCACATAGCAGTATTTGAAATAATCACATAGCAGTATTGACATAGGACTATTACAGTATTTGAGGGTCTGACCCAAAGAAGAGAGGGGTCAACTTATTTTCCAAAGCACCAGAAGGCAAGACAAGAAACAATGGATGGAAACTAATCAAGGAGAGAAGCAACCTGGAATTAAGGAGAAACTTTCTAACAGTGAGGACAATTAACCAGTAGAAGAGGTTGCCTTCAAAAATTGTGGGTGCTCCAACACTGGAAGTTTTTAAGAAAAGACTGGACAACAATTTGTCTGAAATGGTGTAGGGTCTCCTGCTGGAGCAGGGGGTTGGACTAGAAGACCTCCAAGGACCCTTTCCATTCTATTCTATTCTACGATTTCTCCCGTTATGACGGACCAGGATAGAATGCGCAAAAGCAGTAGAAATGATTAATGAAAGGCCTTTTGGGGGGAACAAAACGAAAACCTTGAGCCCTCTTTTAAAAAGGGGGAGAGGAAGGGATACCATCTGTGACAGCCAGCATGGCATGCATCATTTCATAAGAGGCATTCCACCGTGTGCACAATTGGAAAATCCCCTTTCCTTTTTTCGAAACATATTACTTGTATCCTACATTTACGGAAGACTCATCGCCCCTACAGGAGATTAATCACACTCAGGTTATAAATTCCATCACGTCCAACACAAACCAACCCAGAATGCCTTAATTAATTTATCTTCCCTTTTTATAGTCAGAAAGGTCCTTGCTATGGATCTGAAGACGTTTCGCTGATTTTACCTGTCAGCCAAATTCCCTTAAAACCAAGTTCTCCGTTCAACGGATATGCCTCCAAAAGCAAACAAAAAGCAGTCGCCTGATCTTTTTTTTTTTAATCCCACGTTTTGCATTTGGGTTTTCCAGAAATGAAAAAGAAAGATTAGAATCCAGAGGTCTCCAAACTTGGCAACTTTAAGACTTGTTGACTTCAACTCCCAGAATAGCTGGCTGGAGAATTCTGGGAGTTCAAGTCCACAAGTCTTAAAGTTGCCAAGTTTGGAGACCTCTGGATTAGACAGTGGGAAGGAAGGAAAAACGGCCTTCGTGAATGGAAAGCAACATGGGTAGAAAACAGATCTCGTGGGGAGGAAAGGGAGGGACCGATTGGGACCTGGAGGGCCACAGAAGGAAGCACCTCATGGAAGGAAGCTGCTCAGCCGCCCCCAGTCCCACCTGGGAGAAATAAGGTCTTTTGATGTTCTCCAGAACCTGCGAGTCAATCAAGCGCAGGTAAGCAGAACTGAAACCATGATGGATCTTCCCCACTGAATGTGTGGGTCCCCTCCCCTTTCACTATTAAACAAATCCCACCCCCTCTCAGCTTAGAGTCTAGAGCAGGGGACCCCCAAAACGTGGCAATTCGAAGACTTGGCTGGCTGGGGAATTCTGGGAGTTGAAGTCCACGAGTCTTAAAAGTCGCCCAGATAGTTCCTTCTCTGTGCAACCGCCAAGAAAAGGCATTGTGCAATTGTTCCAGCTTTTTTCACCTTTCGGGGGTCTCGATGATGCCCCTTCCGGACTTTCGATTGTCAATCACCTGGCCCCATCTTACCCAGAAATCTAGCCCTGCCCCCCCATCCCCCCCCCCCGCCTCTTCCCTCTGTCCCCCCCCCCTTGCTTTTTCTGCCTCTTTACTCCAGAAAGGCAATTCGGTCAAGGGTGAGAAATCAATTATTAAAAGTTGTTTCTGGACGGACAGCAGAATTCCCAACTTGACCTCTAAGAGTGCAACTGACCGGATGCTGGAGGTCTCTCCCCTCTCCTCTGCCCCCTTGATGGATGGAGAGCAAAGGCTATAAGTGGATGATGGGCCTGGATGTCCAACCACCTGGCAAATTGGATCTGGAAGCACCCAGGGGCTTTTGCACAGCTGGCATCTGGCAAGAGGACGCTCCCCCCCACATGTGGAAGGGGGTGCAGATGCCCTTGCAACATCTGGGGCTCGCCTTGCCACATCTGGAGGGCATCGCAGGAAGAGAAGAGCCAGGGCCGGACGGGGCCCGAGAGGGAAGAAAGGGAAAACGGAGAGGGTCCGCCGCAGCCGACTAATTCCCCCTTGGGGACCCTTCGGGCCGGCCCGAAAAACCGGAGCCGAAGGAAGCTCAAGGAGAGAAACTTGACGAGGAAGGAGGAAGCGTCTTACCTGCGGTGGGAAGCTTTACCTGCGGAAGGCCCCGGGAAGGGAGGGAGGGAAGGAGCAGGGCCGGGATGGGTGGGTGGGCGCACCGGGGAGCCCCTGCGCGGGTCGAGAGAGGCGCGGAGGGGATGCGGAGCGGACCGCGCAGCTGGAGGAGGAGGAGGAAGAAGAGGAAGAGGAGGAGGAAGACTCCGCAGCTGGCTCGCCCGCCCGTCCGGTGGCTCAAGCGCTGCGCTCCGTGTGCCCGGCCGCTGCTGCTGCTGCTGCTGCCTGCCTGCCTGGCGAAGCGCCGTTGGGCAGGGACGGCCTGACCCGGAGCTGGATCGCGGGCGGGCGGCGCAAAGCAGGGGAAGTGACAGGCGGAGGGAGCGGGAGGCAGCCAGGCAGGGGCGATGCTCCGGAGCGCCCCCTCCACGCCGCCGCCGCCGCTTCGGTTGCTGGCGCAGCGCCCTTGCCTTCTCCGGAGCCAGCCGGACGCCCCCCCCCACTCCCTTCTGCTTCGAGGCGTCCCCGGGACTTGGGCAGGGGTCTCCGCGGGGTCCCGCTCAGCTCCGGGCACTGGGGGGTGTGTGTGCAGGGGATGGGAAAGATGCGCCCCACCCCCGCGCGAGCAAACCTCTTCTACACAACAACCTCGCTATGTAGGACGAGACCCCACGAGACACCCCCCCCCCCGCTCCAACCAGCCTTGCCCCGGATCTGCAAACACGGACAGCCGCGGGGACGGAGGGGGAGGTTGGTCGGGCGGCCGGCCGACGAACCAGGCGCAGCTGGTTTCGCCCGAAACTCGGTAGTTTCGCCCGCGGTTTCCCACGGTAGGGAGAAGAGCGAGAAAGGGAAGCGGGCGCTGCGCTGCAAAAATCTCCTTTTGAGGTTATCCCAGGCGGTGCTCAGTCCGGCAGAAGCGACCTTCTCTTTGGGAGAGGTTTTTTCTTTCTTTCCCCGTTGGAACTCCCTGCCACTGGACTCGCCTGCCTGTTGCCCAGCCTGGCAGCCAGTGGGGCCAGATTTCTGCAACGGGGGCGGAGGTTTAATAATTTATTTACAGCCTTATTGGCAGGAGAGCAACTGGGAAAGCAACTGGGTGGGTGGGTGGGTGAGTGAGTGGGTGGGGTAGAGACGGTGCCCCTTAGAAGCTGGTATTTTTCACATTCCCTCCCCCCAAATTATCTCGCCAAAGACCCGCCTCAATGACAACCAGATTGAATCCAGACATCTGCTTCGGCTTCCCCCCTCTTGTTCTGGGGGTGCAGGAACTGAATCATTACCCAGAAACGATCTGCCACGGGGAACAATGGGAGTGGGCTGCAAAAGAGGGAGGGGGGAATCCCCCCAATCACATATGGCACCTGGGGGTGGGAGTTGTCTGCGCTGAGCTGCAACCACCGAATGTGTCTATTGTGCTGTTCTTCTCTTCCCTGCCCTCCCCCCCCCCCCAACCGACCCCCCGTCCCCCCCCCCCCCCAGATGTGTCTGTAAGCCCAGGAAGCGGAGTGGAGACAGGGAGGGGGGGCAGGGGAAAAAACAAACAAACCACCAGGCTTCCTAAAAATAAGGTAGGCCGAAGCAGGCAAGACTGGGACAAGGCGGCTTGGGGTGCCTAAAACCGGCCATTCTGGTTCTTGCGTTAGCTGGACTCCAGAGAAGGGCCGAATGGGTGCACCTCTGAGAAGGTCTGAACGTGGAACTGGCCTGGCTACAAGAGAGTCACGGCACTGAAGAACTGTTTCCGGGGCTGGAGATGGTCTGGGTTCAGAGAAAGCCCCTTTGGGAATCTTCCCCAGGCCCATCTCTCTCTTATCCGTCTGTCCATCCATCCACCCCTATCTATGTACCTATCTATCATCTCTCTCTCATCTATCTATATCTATGTATCCATCCATCCATCCATCCATCCATCCATCCATCCATACATCTATCATCTCTCAATATTTATCTATGTATCCATCATTATCTATCCATCCATCCATCATCTCACTCTCATCTCTCAATATTTATCTGTGTATCCATCTACATCCATCCATCTTATCTAATCTCTCTAATCTGTCTGTCTGCCTGCCTGCCTGCCTACCTACCTACCTACAAATCTATCTCTCTAATCTATCAATCATCTCTCTCTCATCTATCTTTCCGTATCTATCATCTACCATCTCTCTCTCTCTCTCATCTATATTTATCTATCCATCTATCTATCCATGGTATCTATCCACCCACCCACCCATCCATCTCCATCTATCCACCCATGTCTGTCTGTCTGTCTGTCTTTGCAAAATGTATTGGGTTCAGTTGCTGGTTGTTTCCAATGAAAGGCCAAGGCTGGGAGGAAACCCCTCTCTTGAACCAAAACGGACTTACGTTATTTCTGCAGCTGCTGGCCCTCCTCAGCATCCACGCCCGCAACCCTCAAGTCTTTCTTCAACCCAAGGAAGACATCCTCAAGGGGTCAGGCAGGGCATCGGGTGTCAGCCAGCCGTTCTTCCTTCCCCCCTCCCTGGCACCCACCGCCGGTCCATCCAGACCCTTCCCTGGCGCTGTGGTCTGTTGCCGCTTACCTCCACTTTCAGTGCTGCTGCGCACCCATTTAAAAACTGTTGGATATTGCCAAGGCAGTCAGCTTCCGTCTTGGGCTCCAGGCAATACTAAAAAAATAAAAATAATAATAAAATCCGACAGTCAACAGATTTGGAAGCTTGTGACAACTCCTGTCAGCTGGCTCACTTTGGTTCTCAAAGAACATTACCCTGAGTGTTTGTGTGAAGGAATGAAGACAGCTTGGTGCTCACTGGATTTTCACAAGAAGATGGGCTGTGGGTGGGCGGGGGGAGGGAGGAAAAAAAGAGGGGAAGACAAGCTGTCAGCTCAGGAAGAACCGTGGAACAAATGAACCCAAAGCCACCCAGAGCTTAGGACTTGGCGCTGAATGCTTGCCCATAAGATGCCCTCTGCTAGGAAGAGAAAGGTTGCTGCAGATGAAGACAGGTGAACTGGAAGGGGAGATCCCTCTGGCTGAGCAATTCTGGGGGTCTTTATGGGTGATGGGACCAAGTGGATTCAACCTAGAAATAAGGAGGAATTTTCTGACTGTGAGAACTACCAACCGATGGAACAGAAGTTGCCTTTGGAAGTTTTTGGAGCTTCATCACTGGAGGCTTTCAAGAAGAGACTGGACTGCCATTGGTCAGAAATGGTGTAGGGTCTTCTGCTTGGGTGGAAGGGGGTTGGACAAGATGATCTACAAGGTCCCTTCCAACTCTAATCTGTCTGTCTGTCTGTCCTTCCATCTAATCTATCCATCTATCTATCTTTGGCACCAACGGAGAAGGTCTTCTGCAGAGAGCGAGCTAGCTTGGAAGACAAGTGAGAACATGTAAGAACTTCAAGATGAAGGCGAAGGATCCTAGCAAGGAAAAGAATAATTTCTTAAGTGGCTTTTGACCTGCTTGGTTGATTCAGTTGGAAGCCAGTTAGAATAGGAGATGCTACACAAGAGACTGTCCGCTGCAAAAGGCTGTTTGTTAGCCTAATTTCAGGTGACAAGGGCAATCTTTAAAGCCAGGTCACGTAGGTATGGAGTCTTGTATTTCAAAGACTTCCTCCCATGCAAATTTGATCCTTAAAACAGTTACTGCTGCATTTGGACTAGTGTTGGCAAACCTTCTAATTATCATTCTGGTCTTTCTGGTTTTTTTTTGCTCTCTGGTGGATTTCTTTCTTTTCTTTTTTCTTTTTCTTGAGAAACGGGGAAGTTCTTTGAAGAGGAGAGAAGAAATGTGTATAACAGCTCCACTCAAATGGAATAAATCACCTGAAACTGTCTATGAGGACCTCAGAACCTGAAAAACATCTTGCTTTCTTTGCTAGGATACTGTTTCTGAAAGGTATTTCTGAAGAACCACTGACGGGTGTGTGTGTGTGTGTGTGTGGAAAACTGAGGTTGGAGTGAAGGCTCTTTCGTTTATGGAGAGGTGATTTTCAGTTATTTCGTTTTGTGGCCGCTCTTAGGATTTCCTGCTTTGCTGATTGAGCACTGATTATGGATTTGTCTCTGGCTGCAACAGTCATGGTTTACAAGGACGTTTTTCAAAAGACAGCCGTGAGTTAAAACAGTTTCAGAAATACAATGATTTGCATTAAGCCGCCGCAGTTGCCTAGCTTGCATATTGATCTGTCCCAACTGCAGATATGTTAGACTTCAATTCTCACAGCCCTGCACTATCTTTATGCTGGGCTTCAGATCACTGGACCTGCCTCAATGTCAATCATCCGGGCAGAGAAGTTCTTGCATCCGGTTGCATCGCCGTCTTTTTAAAAACACAGCTCGTGGAATAAAATCCTCTTTTGCTCGATTCGTGCCTATAAAACTCAGGCACTGTTTACAAGTCCCCAGGGACTTCTCAGGATTGCTAACCCATAATTTCTAGATATAGATTCACACGTTAAGACTGGGACTCAAACACAACAGCTTCAGGGCACGCATGAAGAAGAGGTATCGATTTGCAGCTGGCCTGAGTCAGCATTCTGCAAACCAATGGCCCCCCTCGAACGCTGAGCTTCTGCTAAAAATAAAAGGGGATTTTACTCTTCTTCTGGTCAAGCACATCCGAAGGAAGATGGCTTGTGCGAAGTGACTCTGTCCTTCAGGAGCCCTTGAGCACTTCAGAACGGTTTCACAAATCATGGTTCCTGGTTTTGAGCAGAGTTCAACATAAGAAAGGACTTGCAAAGTGCAGAGATGAGAAGACGGAAAGGAAAGAGGCTGTCCTTTGCATTTCATACTATTTTTTTTTTAGCTTTTAAAATGATTGTTTATATTCCACCCTTCTGATGCTGGTCTAATGACCACAGGGCAAGATTTCATTGACGGGCCTGCACACATAAAACTGTAGAATCAAAATGCAGTCGCTGTGTTCGCTGGTGAGGTCCATTATGTTTTTATCCTTTTTTTGTGGAGGAAAAATACAGTAGCCCTGAAGTTGCCAAGGGGTGCCCAAACTTTTCACATCGAGTCTTGCAGCAGCTGTCTGGTGGAGATTCCTCAAATTCCAGGCCAGCAGTGCAAAGGCCTCCCCCCTTTCCTGCCGCTGTGGGTCTCGCTCGTCTCTGACCCATAAGAAGCAACATCAGATCTTCCACAGCTAATGAAGCAGAAGCTGAAGTCAACTGTCATGTGGGCAGGATGTGGCTGAAATACAGCAGTGGATTTTGGAGCTCCGGGCGGTCAAATTTTGGAATAATCTGTTTTGTTGTGAAACCCAGGCCAATAACACTGCAGTACTGCATCTTTTCTTTTGCTTTTCTTTTTCCTTACGTTTGAACTGGAAAGGGAGAAAAACCGGGGTTGAAGGAGTCTTCTAAATCAAGAGTTCTCCACACTTGACCACTTTTAAGACTTTGTGGACTTCAACTCCCAGAATTCCTCAGCCAGCACAAGGAATTCTGGGAGCTGAAGTCCACCGGCCTGACAGTTGCCCGGTTTGGAGATCCCTCCTCTTAAATCCTTCTGTAGAACAATTCAGAGAGGGAGGGGGTCCACATAGGTACCCCAAGAAATGCTTCCTTTTTCAAGAGGAAGAAAGGAACTTCTCTTTCTTCCTCTTTCTTATTTTTGGTGTTTTCCATTTGCCTCTTAACACTTTTCAAAATGCTTCTCCTGGGTCCAAAAGTTCACAGATCTTCCACTTCTGTATTCTGCTAGAGGGCTTTTCTCACTTTCTACGCATTGGATTTCTAAATCCGTGTTAATATCCTCTCCCTTAAGTCACCCCTCCTTTGAAATCCATAGTCTGGAATCAGGAGTGGAAAGAGAGAGAGGGAGAAAAAAAAAATACTGAAATAATTTTTAGGGTTCCCTTTGAGCTGGTTAGTTCTGCCTTGAATCAAGAGCTGTCCTTGAGCCAATGCTTTCAAGAAAATAAATGGTATTTTGGGTTGGCCCCAGGCATTCTGTTTCTTCTTCTTCCCTCTCTAAAAGGACCTTATTATACATTGGAAACCTTTGATTTTGTTTTTGTTTTTTTGTTATATTCCAGAAACCGGGACATGTTCTTCCACTTTGGCAGCTAATCAAGATTTCTATTGGACTATAAAACCATCCAATATTTTGGGTGTCTTTGCACTGTTCCAAGATCTTCAAGGATTCTTTATGATTCCCTGGTGATTTGGGATCCCGTCCCTACAGTGTTAGGAACCAGGATTTGCACACACACACCCTACTTGCAATTAAAATTTACCCTCGATTATTGGAAGAGCAGTTTTAGATGGTCTCCAAAAAAAGACCTTCTCTAGTATCGACCCTCTTTCTAACAAGCAAGCAAATCATCACGGCCGTACCTTTTCGATAGAGCCCGGCAGAAGTCGGAGGAGGAGTTTGCAAAGGACGACTCCGTCCTTCAGGGATGCCTTGAGGAATTGCACGGGGTCCTCCACCATCATTTTGGGGGAGTTTAAAGCCCCCATAGAAATCAACCAAGTCACCGTTTGCTCCTCTGGATTCATGACTGAAAGCTTGTTCTGTTCTAAAAGCTTTTGTGTGCAACGGTGAAGCCAAACCCACATCCGTGGCTGCATCTTCCTGCTTCTTCTGAGGTGGGCGAACGAGCAGTTAAAAGAAGTTCCCCTATTACCCTCCACCTATAAAGAGGACAAACCAGTTGAATACTTAAAAAAAAAACAAAAAAAAACACCACCAGCAGCCAGAAAGCACCATCTTGAATTGGCTTGGACTGGAGGAACAAGTTGCATTTACAGTGATTCGCCTTATGCAAATACTTCTGCAGAAGAACAAAACAGAACATTCCCCCAAACCACCATCACAAAGGAAAGTGGTTGCGTTTAACCATGGACTTGAACTCCCAGAATTCCCCCAGCCAGCCAGCCTGCTTGAAGATGGATAGACTTCAACTCCCAGAATTTCCTAAAGTTGAGAAAGCACCGCCTGCAGAGTTTGCAAGGAAGAGTAAAAAATATATCCAATTGTGTTGGCTGAGCTGATAGGAAGTGTGAGAAAAATGGTGTAGGGTCTATCTGGGTGGGGGGTTGGACTAGATGACCTACTAGGTGCCTTCCAACTCTGTTAATCTGTATCTGGTAGGTAAAAATTTCTGTGGAAAATTAAGAATCTAACCAGCGGTGGGAAAAAATGTAGCTTAGTTTAAATCTTGGTAATTTTTCTACTTGCAGGGAGTTTTACATGCACGGAAGACTTTTACTGAGCTGTAAACGTCAGAAACCTCTGAAAGATGTACTTTTAAAAAGTGATTTACTTTTTAATGGAATTATCCACTATTTTAGTTGCCATCATTCAATGCTAGACGATACAAGTTGCGGCAATATAATCCAGGACTGGCTAGGATTCAGCAAGAATCTGTTAAGGCATCAATCCGCACAATGCCCAAGTAAATCAGATCAAGATTAAATATTTTAAAAGGTTTACATCTTATATTTAAAGATATGAACACTCTTTCAGTGTTATGAAAAGCCCTCCTCCACATTGGCTGCTGTTTTGTACTTAAAACAATCACATTCACACAAAATTTTAAAAAAGGGAATGCAGAGATCATGGATACAGCTGGAGGTTCACACTTCTTCATCCAAAAGTGGCATCTTTTTGACCAGAGGCCAAAAGTGGGCTTAGTCTTACTTTCTGGGAGTCGTGCTCCATTTCTTTTTTTGGAGGGCTGAGGTTTGCAAGGGAGGCAACTGCAGGGCTTTTGAATTGTTGGTGGGCGTTTGCCTTTTGCAAAAAAAAAAAGGGGGGGGGGGAGGAACCCTTTTTAATACTCGCCCTCCTTCAGGTCTTCAAACTGCCATTTGAGCCAAACAGCAGCTGTACTGAAGCTTCAGGTTGTCTATTTCTGGCTTGTGGTTTTGTGCTCGGCTGCCACACCTCCTCTTGAGCTCATGAGTTGCACCAGATGGTGCAGAGCATGGCAAGAAACTGAAAATTGGGCAGGGCTTGAAACTCTACAAATTTCACTTTCAATAAAGTGTTGGGTTTTTTTTAAAAAAAAGCACTTTGAATACCCCTTTCCCTCTGTGCAAATACTGTTAACTCAAAAGGGTGGCATAGGTAAAAGCCAGGTGGATCCCCCCCACACAGCATATGGTGTATGAATAAAGGAGACCCTAAGCTATTTCACCGAGAATGACTGCACCTTCCCCCTTTTCCTGGGCATGCTGGCCAACTGGCTGAGCAAGGCGTGTCCCTTTCACACACATATTTGTGGGCCACAGAGCAGCACCAATTCCACCAGAGCCTGAGCCCTACACAATGTCCCTTCCCATTGGCTTAGGTCTCCCTCTACCGACAATTCTCTTTTGCACACTCCACAAAAGCCATGTTTTTTCATTTTTGCTGCCAAGCTCTCCCCCTTTAAAATGGAACAATGGCTTTTCCTTACTTTAACTTGTTGGAAGGTTTTTCTGCGCCTGTCGATTCTTCAAGGCAAAAGATTGTGATCAAGTTCACCAATGCAGTTTTTTTGGGGGGTGGGGGGCAAAATACAAAGGGGACAAAACCTAGACCCAGGACCCCTAGGACCAACACTGCCCTAAAGTGACAACACAGATCCTTCATGTCTTGAAGAACCTTTTCCTGGACCATCTTCCCCCTCTGCCCCCACCATCTTTTGTGCATTTTGACTACTTTGCAATTGGCCAGAGGTAATACACAGTATCTTTCTCTGCCTGTTTTTTTTTGCCCTCTCTCCCCCCAATCTGTTTAACTGGATTATCTCCACCCTAAAGTTGGGTTAGACCAACTTTAGGGTTCTTGTCCACCCCGTGAGCTCTTATTAGACTGTTTAAAAGCAAAAGGAAGAAGTGTCCACAGTGGTTTCTATCTCCCTCAGTAGAAAAAGCTTAGTTCTATCCTTTTTGGCAACCCATTCAAACCCTGTAATGTGTTCAAAACACCGTAAAAGCTTGCCAGAAAAGCTGGTTATCTAATCAGCAATATTGAACCCAATAAAATATTTGAGTAGCCTTTGGCCACTCCTGCGCTGGACTTCGTTTGGAAAGTGGAACTGTCATCGCAGACCATTTCGGAGTAATGAAGAGCTCAGGAGGAAACCAACACTTTATTAAGTTTAGTGAATACAAGGATCCCAAGCTTCAGATGTTGAGCCTCTTCCACGATGCGTCACGTTTTCATTTGACCCAAACGTTTTTTTACCTGTTTCTTAAACTTATGGCACTAGCTCCTTTTCACTATCCCCTTTCATGAAAAGGGAATTTTATGCCGTCTCATTCGTATGAGATTTTCCTAAACAATTTTATAGATGGCTGTGACATTCTTGTGAAATCAAATCATTGTGCAATTCCTGGCTATAAATGTCATGCTGAACATGAGGATTTAAGAAGAGTTCTTCTTAGGGAGAAGCTCAGTCTTGCAAGTGGCCACATTTTGAACATCGCCTCCTGCAGCGCAGAGTCTAATCTCTGGCAGTTATTGAAGAGAGAAAGACGCACTGCTCAAAGTCCCCCAATTCTACCTCCTGACTCCCCCCTTAAATCACAAGCCATGGCTTTTGCTGGATGTCTGCCTGCCTGCCAGGATTTCAATCACATTTGTTAAGAGGACAGAAATAATTTCCATCTGACATTTAAGACTCTTTGTCTCACATATGAGCCTTGTCTGTAGTTGCAACAGACAATGGCATTTAGGAAAGGACTTTCCTGAAAATTGCCTTCTTTAAACTTTACATCCATCTTTTGAGTCTGCTTCTTTCTTGACAGGCCTCCACACAATTCTGTACCTAGAATATAAATAAGCATTAGGAGACTGCCAGAACAGAAAGGCTGTCAAAACAATTGCTAGTATAAACGATCTAATGCAGTTGCCAAAATGAAACAACCGCATAGCACAAAAAGAACCATTTCAGGATCTTTACCTTGTTGTACACACTTAAACATACCTGGCTGCTTGCAGTTTCTGAACAAGCTGCCATAAATGACCACAACTGCTCTCTTGTAACACCTTCCCAAGTGACGGATCATCTCTTATGAAATGCTGAGCCTCAACGATAAACAGCTTTCAGCAAAAGCTTAAGAGCTGTCTGCTCACCCCTTGTTAAGGTCAATGGAACATTAGTCCATGAGCACATTAGTTCTCCAGCTGTTTAAATGTTTATATCTCCAATTTTTTTTAAAAAAAAGTGATTTAAGAATGGCACACCAAGTAGAAGATACACAAAAACTAGGTGAGCCATAATGTCCACTGGGAGAAAAACAAGTAGTAGTTCCAAGTGCTATTTTGGAAGGTTTCTACTGAATATTCTTTATCCTGTTTCAATATGTAACCTTTTTTTCTAGAAGACTTTAATAGGTCACACATCAGCACTTTAACCATATTGGATACAATATTTTTGACTTTAGTAACGAACATATAATTGTTCCCTCTTGCTTGCAAAAGCAACGTTCTCAGGAAATGGGATGTGTTATCAGTCTGTTCAAACTGAACTGGAGAACTAAAAAAGTCACCTAATTCCACAAACCAGCAGCGATGGGGCTTGTCCTACTTCAAGCTTTTATTTGCAAGGTATCTGAAACGAGCCCTTTCAAGGCCTCCCTTACCTCCGAGCTTACCTGCTGCTCTGATGCAGCTCACAAACGTGGTGTTCCTTCCAACACAGGGGCTGCTTTCTGGGCCTCATCTTAAACGGAACGAGCGCTCAGCCTGCAACAATTACAGACGGTGTAAAAGATTCCGGCGGGCCCAACCGCCCAAACCCACGACCACCCCAGAAACAGAAACAAAACAAAAAAAAACCCAACAACCTGGGCTCGCCGATTAGTCTGTCACGATCTAAGCATTTTTACACATTTGAGGTGTGGAAGGTTCATTGGACTGGAATGAACTGGAATGGCTTAGTGAAAAAGTCGCATGGCTTTATGGATTCTGATTTTCTTTCCAATGGTGCTTTTTCATGGCAAGTCCATTTGACTGGCAAATATGCTTGGAAGGTTTAGAGGAGGAACTTTAGTTGGAGGTCTTCAGGTCTTACTACATTTCAACAGCATCTTTTGAACTTCCTGGCCGCACCTGGGTCATGACAACTCGGCCCAGGTACCAAAACTCCCAAACAAAGACTATACAGTATAAAGAAAAGAAGTCAGGCATCCAACTAAACATCAAGTTCGTAATCATGGCTTGCTTGACATTTCCCAGCTGTTAACACAGATTTTGGCAATTTAAGCCAAGTTCTGATTGTATTATGGTTTTACGTTTCTTAAAATTAAAAAAAAAAGTTGCTTTTTTATATATATAAGTATCTTCATTGAAACATACTGGCCAAAAAAAGCAACAGTCCCTCCCAACCCCTTATGGGGACTTGTTTACAAGCTGCTTTCTTAGCATCATTTTCAAAAGCTTTGTGCCATACATATTTTCATCCAAGACAAGGTTATGATGAATTTAGAAGGCTTCGCCTAAGGCTTTCCAGCACAGGTATTTACTTTTTTTTTTTTTCCATTTGGCGCTTTCTTTAAAAAGCTAGAAAAACTTCCATTGCCATGATGCACAGCATGTCCTACTGTACTAAAAAGGACGATAGCTTTTTGGTTTCACGTTTTGACTTAGACCGAAAAACTAGTTTTTGCTTTGCTTACCATCTTTTGCTGTTTCACGGGCATTTGATGCTTTAAAGCTGTTGTTGTGGGATGCTGAAAGTTTTCACTTGTTTATATGAAGCCATAAGCTTTTCAGAGGTTGGTGAGAAAGACTTCTTTGCTTATCTTACTTTTCTCCATTTTGCCTTTGGAGTCAAAGATGTTCCTTTAAAAATGAGACACTACAGGATTGCAAAAATTTGAAACAGTAAGAGCAAGTACGTTCTGCAGCTTCTTGGATGGAATGGGCCAAACCTCTTTTTTTTTTTTAATTTACAGAACTCTGCAGCTTGCTTTCTGCAGGTTTAACACATTACTGAGGGGGGCGAGGTTCTTGCAAATTGCCTAAGGAAATGCGTAGAGTGGCACAATGTACATTCAGCTTTATCCATTGGTGGTTTTGACTTAAAAAGGCTGAATGGTGTCCTGAATTTTACACAGGACCGAAGGTAGGTCATTATTTGGGAGCATCTTTGCATTTCAGAGGACACTTAATAGTTTAGGGTTGGCATCCATCCCCACCCTCCCTTCCAACAAATCATATAGTCTTGCCTAGAGAAGGCATGCTTGCGTGAGCAGAACGATCCATGGCCATTTTAGATGCATGGGGTGCCTTCGGCTGGCCGTTGCATTGATGAAGTGAAAAGTGTGGTATTTCAGGGTTAACGTTTACTTTGAAAAGGTTACAACACTAGTACATAGGCTCAAAATGGCATACATTAACATCTGCTTTTTGAGAGAAATTATTAACAATTTTGAAATGAAATTTAACATTGTTTTTACTCTTTCCTCACAAAAAACATCAGTAATGAAGGGGAACTTAACAAGCAACAATTAAAAAAAAAGTTAAAAACATCGTGTTGATAGTCCTCTGGGTGGGAACGAGATAAAACTTCCACATTCCTTGTGTTGGGGGGAGGAGGAAAAAACTTGATTTGGTCCATGAGTTTCAAAGGTTTTTTAGTATCGGCTTCGGCCTCCACCTCTATCCGAGCGGCTCCCTCCCCGGCCGCCACCTCGGGGTGCTCCGCGGCTCGAGCTGCTGTAAGAATCGCGGGGCGGAGGGTAGCCCCGTTCCATAGACGGGGGAAGGCCTCTGTCTTGTCTGCCCACATGGTCTCGGCCACTTGAGTAGACATCGCTTCTGCTGCTTGAGTAACTCTCTCGACTTCCACCATACCCATCACGGGTGCTTCCGTAATCGTCATAGCGACTGCTTCCACCATATGATGGAGGGGGCCCGCGTGCAGGGGGAGCACTACGTGAGTTACCTGCAGGTTCAATGGTCAGGTAATAGGGCAACACTATAAATCACATCACCACAATTTTACATCTGAGTTTTTAAAAGAAATGCATCAATGGCTTCTCTGACTTTTTTTTTTTTTTGATTTTTAAACTGAGGAGGAGCTTAAATATAAGCTCACAATATTATTTGGTGGGGGAAGGATCGGGCAGAGAAGGAAACAAAACAGGCTGTTTGAAGATGCTGTTTTTTTTTTTTTCACAAAGTAGCTCTTTTTTTGGGATTATTCCAGAACTGCTTGCTATTTTTTATAGAAGAAACTCAGCCATTGTTTTTCCAGTGAGAGAGATGCAATTCAGAATTGTTGAACTTTGCTTCGATAGGTTAAGGGAACTGCAATTCAATCGTTTTGTTAAAATAAAAACATTTCCCCTCCCCCCCTTCCACTGCAGCAGAAAAACCCATCATGTTAACAATCCCGCTAAGGAGCAGCACTCTAGCCAGTCAAGGAAGCAGCCTAGTGAGACATTCCTGAGAAGCCCTCAAAGTCAGCACTTACCGTAACTCTCATAGGAATCTCGGTAAGAGCCTCCACTGGGATGGTCCGAGTAATCCCGGTCACGCCCTCCGTAGCCATCCCGATCGCTGTAGGAGGAATAACTACTAGGGCTTAGTAACGGAAGCCCACCGTGATAGAAAGCAGTTTCCCTTATTCTTGCTTTCATTGATTTGCTTTTTTTCCTCTGCATTTCTAAACTGTAACATTTTTTCCATCTCTTCTCTAGGAAGCATGAAGAGCAACAAGGCTTATACCCACCCACCCCCATAGTACCTTATAACACTCTCTGGGCAGTTCACAGTATAAAGGCACTATGGGCTGACATCGGAAGCATGGTAAGACTGAGCCAACCTTGAGGCCCACTAGATCAAACTCTAGGCTGTGGGCAGAGTTTGCCTGCAATACTGCAGGTTTAACTCACTGTACATCTGTACGTGCTAAGTTATGTATACGGTCTGCACTCGCAGGTCTTTACAAGGGTTATCAAAGCCAAGTCTGCCATCAATATTTAATTCAAAAAAAAGTACACGTTACCTTAGTCACTCCCAGACTTGCAATGGCAATTTGATTGGAATGACCATCATCACCAAATGAGGCGGTCTTAAATTCTAACACCCCCCCCCCCCCCCCCCACGTAAGTGTTGGCAATCCCTACCATCAACAATTTGGTTATGTCAACTGCCTTTATTAATCAAACCCCAGGTTTGTTAGGTGAGGTCAAAGGCCACGACCGTGCGAGTCTGGAGCTCCAACACCATCTCTGTAAGCATTTGTTCAGGGCTATTTTAACTTCAAAAGGACAAAGGGCCAAAGGCAGAGGACTACTGGTAACCAAGCCCAGGCCCTCCTCGTTATAGATGAGAAGATGGCTTAAGGAATTGGCTTCTTTGGGGATTTTCAATTTTCTAGAGATCCTTACGGACAGCCAACGATGTTCCTAAATAAATATGAACTCTATGGAACACGGAGAGACTAACAATGGAACTCTAGGTACCTGTAACCTCTTGAGGGATACTCATCCCGTGAGCTGGAGTGTCCATAATCACGATAGGCATAATCCCTTGGTGGCGGGGCATAATCTCTGGTGTCTCTGGAACTTGGATAATCTCGGCTTGAATAACTACAGAAATTAAGATGAAGTTACTTTTTGATTACTGACAAGCAAAATAGCAAAGTCCGAGGACATCTGCTTGAAGATATTAACGTATCAGATGTTAACAAAACAAGGTATTGTTTTACCTGTCCTTAGTACTGTAGCCATCATCTCTGGGGGATAAGTAGACATCTCTTCGTGATGGCAAGGAGTCTCTTCGTGGAGGCCCCCCATAGCTGTCTCTGCCACGTGACAGGGGCGCTAAAATTTTTTTTTAAAAAAAGAAACCCAAATTGAGTTGGAAACAAGGCAATCCGAAGGCATTCGTCCCCATTTTGAGTGGGGGAAATGTTATACTGAGCTGTTTGTTTTTAAATGAAGGCAAAAGTCTATGCACAATTATACAAATTCACAGGAATTAGAAGAGGAAGAACCACGTATTAAGCACAACCTCATCGCAACGAGTGCAAGAACATTTGGAAGGCGGCAAAGGTTGTTATGTTACCCATAAAGATTTTAGTTGGAAACTGAGCATTAACGACACATTTACATGGTGGCGGCAGAATCCTGCAAGGCTTAGAAGAGCAGAATTGTACTTTATACAGATTTGTTATTGTGTGGTGCATCCAATGCCTGGAGAGTAAAGAACCCTCACAAATAGCACTAAGAATTTAAAGGCCCCAAATTTTGCAATGTGCCACAGCAATAGCCCCCCCTCAAGTTAAGACTTTATGAGCAAACTAAAGCATTTATTACAAGGCTTACCTCTACCACCCATCCCACTACTGCTGCGTACAGGTCCAGATGGTGTGGGTCTTTTTGGTGGTGGTCCCCCACTACGGGGAGGTGGGCCCCTTTTCATTGGGAGAGGGCCTCTAGAGGAACCTAGAAGACAAAGAACATGACAACTTCAGAAGCATCATCACGATGCTGAGAGGCACCAGAAGTGAAAGGGGGCCAAGAACAAACATGCTCGGAGGGATTGCCCTCATCATGAGAAACACCCGGGGGACTTGTCAACCTTGGACCAAGGCCGCTAAAAAGAAACCTCATTTTGAGAAATAGGCCCATTTTCTGGGCTGTATTTTTTTAGACAATTACCGGGACAGTAAAAACAGGCTTATCTGTTAGGTCTTTTCCAAGTTGACAATCCATCATTGGTGGATAGCAAGCTCTAGCCTCAGATGTGAATGAGAAGCTACTAAGAAATTATAAGAGCCATCGCACCTAGTGTTTTGCACACTCACTTGTGTACCAAATCTAGGTTTGCACAATCTGTATTAGACTCCAATTGGCTTGTGATTTGTGGTTCAGCCTGTGTGTGCACATCTGTATGACACGATTTATGCACAAACCTCTTTTAAATGCGATGGCCGTGGCCATTAACAAGTTACAGAAAAGCAGTAAGCAGCTAAAACTGGTAACATCCACCTATCTTGTAGCTGTAGTCTTTCAATTACCAAGAACTCTTTGTTCTTGTTGTAAACTCAAAGCACAGGTTAGAAAGCAGGTCAGCGGACATTCAATCATGTTTCACCTGCCAATCAGGTACTTCCAAGGAAGCTCACAAGCATATTTAGGATGATAGCTCTCCTCCAGATTGCCCTGGCTGTTGTTTTTTAAAGCTTGTTTACAGTTTAGATAAGCTGTGAGAGATTGCAAATAGCCATCCAGACAAGGAGCTACCCATAGCCTGATCAGCATCCGCTTAAAATCAAGAAACATGCTCCTTGACAAACAATGGCTAATGTTCCAGTTTGTTTCTGATTAAAAAAATACTTGTTGATTATCAATATTAAACTGACTTTTGCATATTAAGAATAGAATTCTTTATTGGCCAAGTGTGATTGGATACACAAGGAACTTGTCTTTAGTGCATATGCTCTCAGTGTACATAAAGGGATTTATAGTATGGTGCCTTGTAGATATTGCATATTAAGGCAGGAATTTATAGAATGGTGCCTTGTAGATATTTACTCTGGACCTGCTTTTGAAATACAAGTTCAGGCAAGCCAGATTTTAAGGACCACCAATCTCATCTAAGAACAAGAGCACATTGACACCCCAAAGCACTACTTGGACTGACATTTTTTTGCATTTAGAAGTGTAATAATTAGTGCTCACAGCACTTTATTTACCTTCTGTCCAGCTATTTTCCTTCTTTCCATTCAACTTCTCTACGTCTTCTGTGCTGTCAATAGACAGGAACTTAAACATACCTAAGTGACTGCCTCTTGAAGGTGGCCCCCGGGTTCCACTGCTGCCTCTTCCACCTCTAAGGCCTCTTGGGGGTCCTCTGCTCCTTGGGAGGGGCCCACGTCTACCAGTTTCAAAGGTTGGCTTGGTAGCTTGTTCAACTTTAATGGATTTTCCATCTAAAGACTGAACAAAGGCATCTAATTCAATCTTTGTGAATAACTCCTACCTTTAGGCTTATTACAGTGTTTAGACTTTGAGAGTATTATCAGCATCCGATCCCAGCTGGTTAGTGCACACAGGGGAACTCAGAATGCTAATGCTTATTGATTGCTGGCTATTTTATTTATAATTTGTCAAACAAAAATGAAATCACAAATATAAAAATAACAGGGACAATAGGCACATTAGTGCACTTATGCACACCCCCTTTATAGACCTCTTAAATATCAAGTGAGGTCCACAGAAGTCAATTTGTGACTAAAACTGAAAATTTGTAGCTGAGACAACTGAATCATGTAGAGCATTCCAGACAACTCTTATTACAAAAATCGTATTTTTACAGTCGTTAGAATGACTTGTATTGAATTTAAAATGGTTGTTTGTGCACGTATTATTGCGATTAAAACAGAAAAAGTCATTTACAGGTAAAACATTACTACAATTTTGTATGCAATACCCAAGTCCGACCCCAAACGAACTATATTTGCATTAAACCAGAGAATATTAAGTAGGATTTGCAAATACATTACTACAGTGTTTTAAGTCATTTGTCTTTTTAACTTCAAATTGCAATACTAACATTTTGGAAGTAAACATGTGGCTGTCTTGTGATACAGGACATGTTTTCCTCTCATTTTTTGAGGAGCATCCAACAAACATTTGGCATATATCTGGCACTTTTTTAATGATACTGTTACCACTGGAAAAACAACCTCATATACTAGGTTCCCCCCACCTTTAAGGGATGCTGGAAAGCAACCTTTGCTATCCAATTTGAAATTTTCTTAAAGTCTCTCTTAGAACAAGGGTCAAACTCGCAGCCAGCGGGCCATGCACACCCCTGGTTTAGCGAAGGGGGAAAAAGTTGTGATGTCACGTGACAACATTGTGTCATCATGAGTTTGGCACCTCTGTCTTAGAAAATCAACATTCACAATCCTTTGAAACTATTTCAATTCTCTCCTTTTGAGTTTTACCACAATAAACAGACACTCTTACCTTTCCATTCATATCTCTTGCTGCATCCTTAGCATCTGCTGGGCTTTCAAATGTGACAAAAGCAAAACCTCTGGATTTGTTGGTTTCACGATCTTTCATAAGGAGAACTGAGAGAGAAACAAGCATTATTTTGTTTGCTGATCTCACAGGGGGAGATCACCCAGGATTCACATAAGCCTGCTCAGAACTTCTTAGAGGATAGGTAAGTCCTATCACTTCAGATGATCAAAAAAGCTGAGTTCATCACAGCAGGACTGAAAACCCCACCAAGAGGCCTTGCCCTTACCTTCTACAATACGGCCATATTTGCCAAAGACAGATTCAAGAGCTTTCTCATTCGTTTCAATGTTCAATCCACCAACAAACAGCTTCCCAGGCCGATCTGCTTCAACCATTTTGACAGGTTTTGGAATCTAGAACAAAACAACCAACCTTTAGAAACCATAAAAATATAGTCACATCCAACTGCAACATGACTTTTTGGATTTCCTGCATATAAAAGATATTGTTGATAAACATTCCATTTTCATTACTAGTCAATTACTTCATTCCTACTGCTGCATGACATGCTGTTTATAGAAAGTAACTCCTGAAGTGGCCCAACCTCTTGCTATAATAAAGAAAAAAAAACCCAATATGACATGGTAAAAGTTCCTTCTAGTTTAAGCATGAACCAAAAATGACAATTAACAAACCACATTTCCTCATAACAGTCCTTTTAAGCCTCACCCCAGAATTGTTTTTCTTCAAGTCTCAATCCCTTTTACAAATATTGCTCAATTGCGCTACATGAATACAATGAAATGAATTTAATTTCTAACAGTCTGTCCAAACCAATCCCTCCAGATTGATTCATTTAGAAACACCCCACCCATTAGAAGTTACTAATATATTTCTGGAGGACATTTCTATTGAATGAAAGCTGCATTCAATTCTATTTTTAATAGTCCCCTAAACAGTCCTCACTATTTACTTGTTTCAAAAGAATAAATCGTTCATTTTAACAACAAAAAAAACCCCTAATAAAAGCATCTGGACTGCTGAAGGCACAAAACCACATCGGCCAATCCATTCTGCAAGGGTTTTATTCCAAAATATAAATGGACAGTTTTAAGTTCAAAGGAAAGAGGTAGAAAAGGTAAAACTCCCAAGTTGAGGAACCTGAGTAAATTTCCAAGAAATTCAGTTTTCGAATTTGGTCGGAAAGAAAATAACGATACATTTTTAAATGTTCAGTTTCACTGACGTTTCATATTTAATGAATAAAAGCTAATAATTAATAATTAGTAATAAAACACCCAACCTTTAAGAAAAGGAGGAAAAGCAATTCCCACGTTCGGATTTAGCAACAAAAAACCCGGAGCCTCTTCGTGCAAACCGCGCATGTGCGCCGGCCGAACGGAACGCGCGGAGCGCATGCGTCCTCGGCAAAAACCGCCTCCCCGAAAGAGCGGCGCGTGCGCACTCCCGTCCGCCCTTCCCCCCCCCCGTCCCACGCGCCTTGAAGAAGGGGGCGGGGGCGCACGAAGCATCGAGGCCACTCTTAAAGGCAGCCGCAAAATGGCGGCTCCTGCGACCCTCCGAGGAGCCCGTGTTTTGGGGGGGGGAAAGAAACAGCACTTCCCGACACCCACTTAACTTCCCAAGCTTTAAAATGGCGCCTCAGCCACCCCCTGAGGAGAAGAAGCGGGAAGGGTGAAAACCGTTGAGGGGGTGTGTGGACGGAAAACGAAATAAATAACGGCCTTGGGGGTCCGCTAAACGGCATGCGTGCGTGAGACAAAAAAAAGTATACGTATGATATGAAAAAGGCCTCATTAAAAAATAAAAATAAAAAAGGAAAACTCCCTCATCCGCTACCACGCATCCTTACCTCCTTCCCGCCGGCCTGCAACGACGCACTGAAGAGGAACAAAGGGGCTGAGGGCCTTTATATAAGTGACGTCAGCGCGTTCGAACGGAGCTGAGAAGCCCGGATGAAAGCATGGCGAAAGGGAGGAGGCGTGGCCAGGGCTTGGGAGAGAAGAAATGGGTAACGGCGGGTGTGGGTGGCTGCGCATGTGCGAGTCCCTTCTTCGATTAAGGTCGTGCATGTATATGAACGTGCGCCTTGGTTGAATTTGGAATAAAATTATAGGAAATAAATAAATACGCCTTGGAGACGGTAGATTTGTTGATTGCATTTCAGCCTGGGATGCTTTCGTTCAAGATTTGCCCACATTCTTCTCTGTGGTCCTCTAGAAGCATGGAACTCTGCAATAAATTAAAAAGCATGGATGTGTAGATTATGTATGTATGTATGTATGTATGTATGTATGTATGTATGTATGTATGTATGGTATACATATATACCATTCAGGGGATCCTTGGCTTAATGACCACAACTCTGACCAGAAAATTAGTTGTGTGGTCATTGAGGCATCTTGTGACAGCATCAAATTATATGAACCTTTTTTTTTGTTGTAGTTGCTAAATGAGACATCGTGTGACCATGACCTTCAGTGCCAGCTTTCCCATTGATTTTTCTTGTTCGAAGCTGAGCTAGAACTCCCAGCCTCCTGGTGATTGGCCCAGAGTCACCCAGCTGGTTTTCAATACCCAAGGCAGGACAAGAACTCCCAGCCTCCTGGTGACTGGCCTACAGTCACCCAGCTAGGTTTCATGGCTAAGGCGGGACTAGAACTCCCAGTCTCTCCTGGTTTCCAGCCTGGTGCCTTTACTACTAGACCAAACTGGCTCTCTGTACAGCCTTTTTGTATCACCGAAGCTGGAAAATGCGCACAAGATTTAGAATTGGACATTTTCCCCAATATAAATTTTATTTTTTTTCCTGATCTTGCTGCCCATCTGTTATCTGAAGCACATCACTGAAAGGTCCCATTGCTGGATTGGGGCCAAACCAGCCATTGACCCTTTTTTGCTCAACAGCCAAAACTAGAATGAAGTTTGTTAGGGGCTCTGGGCCAGGTGACTCTAGCAGATGATGGTTTATTCTGCAGATAGCACATTTTCAATGATTTAAAATTGCTTTTCATTTCTTGCACTGTTTTAAGTGTGGATTTCAACTTCCAGAATTCCCCAGCCTGTGTGAGGAACAATAGAATAGAATTCTTTATTGGCCAAGGGTGATTGGACACACAAGGAATTTGTCTTGGTGCATATGCTCTCAGTGTACATAAAAGAAAAAATACATTCATCAAGAGTCAAGAATCCTAAGATACAACACTTAATTATAGTCATAGGGTACAATAAGCAATCCAATTATACTAGGAAACAGTCCATATAAATTGCAAGGACACAAGCCACAAAGTTACAGTAAGGAATGATGAGAAGATTAATACCGTAGTAATAGGAGTGCAGACTTTGTAAATAGTTTGGCAGTGTTGAGGGCATTATTTATTTTGCTTTTTTTTGTTTTGTTTTTGTTATTTTTGTGCCCTTAGTTTTGGTTCTTTCATCAGCTGCTGAAGAATCCTAGAGGTGAGATGGGCTGATATATATATACATTTGCTAAATAAAATAAGTAGTGCAGCATCCCGTGCCTTGATGCACGGGGAAAGGAATGGGGTTGGCTCACTTCTTCCCACCCAACCCCATCAAGATACAGGTTGCCCTTTGATGTCTTCCGAAGTTGTGGTGCTCCATCCCCAGAGGCTTTTAAGAAGACACTGGACAACCATTTGTCTAAAATGGTACAGGGTCTCCTGCTGGAGTAGGGGGTTGGACTAGGAGACCTCCAAGGTCCCTTCCAAGTCTATTATTCTATACGTCTGTGGAGATTCTCCGTCCTCCAGGTCATGGTTGCCCCACAGATGCTTTTTCCAGAGGCAACTGGAACTTTCTGGTTTTTCAAAGTAAAGGTTCGTCCTCCGAGCTTGTGGGTTGGTTTCCAAACGTTTCGTTTCCAGGCTAAGTAACAGCTTCAAACTCTGCTGAAGATGTCACCTAGCCTGATAACGAAATGTTAGGAAACCAACCCACAAGCTCGGAGGACGAACCTTTACCCTCATCCTACATCTGAACTACAGATATTCGCCACTATAGCATTTCTGTTTTTTCGTTCTGTTCTGCTCTATTCTATTCATTTATTGAATTTATATTTATTAATCTATTCTATTATATATTCTACTCTAGTCTACATTCTATTCTATATTCTATTCTATTCTAATCTATATTCTATTCTATTCTAATTCTATTCCTATTCTATTCTTTCCTTTTCCTATTCCTATTCTATTCATTTATTGAATTTATATTTATTAATCTATTCTATTCTATATTCTATTCTAGCCTACATTCTATTCTATATTCTATTCTACTCTATATTCTATTCTACTCTATTCTAATTCTATTCCTATTCTATTCTTTCCTATTCCATTCATTTACTGAATTTATATTTATTCATCTATTTTATTCTATATTCTATGTTCTATGTTCTATTCTATTCTTCGAAGACGTTTCGCTTCCCATCCACGAAGCTCCTCCTTCAGCTTCTTAGAGGAGATACTATTATTCCATCCTACCCACCTGCCGGGATGCAGGGACTGCTGCCCTTAGCCAAAATGGTGCCGCCGGCACCGCTCGCCCTGGGCCGAGCGCCGACCCGCCGAATCTGAACGGGCCTCCGACGCTGCCCTGACCCAAGATGGCGGTGCCGCGCTCGGGTCACGTGGGAGGCTGAGGCGAAGCGCTCCACCCAGGCCCGGCCGCGCTTCCTCAGTGCGAGGCCGCTGCTCCCACCGCTCCTGCCGGGCGATTGTGACGCCGTCGCCGCCCTTGGAGCCCCTTTCGACCCGCGGAGAGAGAGCCCCTTCGTTTGCCGCCAGCCAGGAAACGCCATGATGGGGAGGCCGCGGCCTAACGGCCTCTCCGTCCCGCTGCTACTGCTACTGATGGTTTTGGGAGGCCGCGCAGGCCTCGGCGCCGCCTTCTACCTGCCCGGCTTGGCGCCCGTCAGCTTCTGCGAGCCCTCGGACGCCAAGCAGGAGGGCTCCGCCGGCTGTTCGGTGGGACGCCGGGCGGGATGGAGTGGGGTGGGATGGTGGTGGTGGGGACACCGGAGTATCCACCTGAGGAGCCGGGACTACACCTCCCAGCATCCTCTGCGCGGCCCTGGGAGTTGTGGTTCCCTGGGTGGGGAAGCGGGGGGGGGGGGGGGATGTGTGTTTGTGTAGGGGGTCTGTGTGTATTTACACGATACGCTTCCTCGTGGGAGAACACGTGTCTCGCATTCATACGAGTCTCCTAGCCACCCAGGTGAAGTAGGGGTGGTGGTGAGGAGGAAATTAATGTGCTTTATTATTATTTTATAATTTATTATTTATTATATTCTTTTATTATTTTTCATTTTTATATGGTGTTTTTATACTCGTGTAAGCCGCCTTGAGTCGCCCATGGGCAAATAGGGAGCAATATAAATTTCCCCCCAAAAATACATTAAATAAATTCTAGATCTAATTGGTCTAATTAGCTAATTAGGCTGGTCTCTTTGGAGGGGTAGTTGTTGTGTCCCCAGGAAGACATCAGTTTGCACAGATCAGGGGGATCAACCTGCATAATGCCACTCCTGTTTTGAACCCTGAATTTTGTGCAAGATGTAACAAATCCTGCTTTTTTTTTCCTTGGGAGGGGGCAGGGGTTGGACTAGATGATCTACAAGGTCCCTTCCAATTATGTTAATTTGTTAAAAACCCTTTTCCCCCCCCATTGCTGGTGAGCAAGTTCATTATTCATCTTGGTATTCAAGAAAAGTGTGTTGCCAGCTATTTAAAACAATGTCTCTTTTTAATCCTAGCCCAATATTGAGCTGTTTGTAAACAGGCTGGACTCCGTTGAGTCTGTTTTACCATATGAATACGATGCGTAAGTATACCTTTTATCCAGAAAGGGGTTGGATACGGCTTTTCCAGCTGAGAGAGAAGAGATGAAGGAACACACCCCTAAGCATGATAATTCTCTTTCTTTCTTGTGCAGTTTTGATTTTTGCAAAGACCAAACAGAAGAAAGACCGTCAGAAAACCTGGGACAAGTTCTGTTTGGCGAGAGAATAGCCTCTTCCCCCTATAAGGTGATCACAGACTTCCAAATGCTTTGAGGAAGCTTTGTTTTGTGATATTCTTCAGTGACTCGCTTGTTCCCACTTTTGACAAAAGCTTCACGGAAATCATTTGGGGACACAGATGCTGAATGGCCGTTAGGAGGACGCATTTACGCAGAACATAAAGGACTATTTAGAAATTGCAGGGCAGCTTGGTTTCTTTCTTGAATAGAGCTGACTCTTGGTCAGCTGAAAAGAATTTCCAGAGGCAGGCTAGAAAGAAGATATAATTATTGCAGGATCATTATTGCTCCTATGTAAGTTTCCCAAGGGCATATTGCTGGCAGCTGCTGCTATCACTGGAAATAAAACACTCATTGATAAATTTGTGGGGCAGAGGGAAAATGATAGGGTCTTAAATTTCCTGGCTTTTTTACTTCCAGCTTTTAATTCATTTGTCATTAGTTGATTTTATGAGGACAAGAAGCTTGCTTTCTATTTCTCTCCTGGATGATGCCAACTTATCTGCCAGTACCCTTCTAAGTAATATATTTTGAGTGTAGGAAAGAGAGAGAGGGAGAGGAAGAGGAAATGAGCACTGAGCAGAAAATGAAATCCTGGGGAATTTTTAGATAAGGAAGTATTAAAGAACGCCTTTTAATCTTTGGCTGGACAAAATGATTATTTCAACAACACAATCTTGAATGAGTGCCCAGCTGAATCGTTTTAATGGTATGGATCAAAACATTTACATCTCTTTTGTCTTTATGCCAGTTTACATTTAAAAAAGATGAAGAGTGCAAGAAAGTTTGCATGAAATCTTACGACCCACAGAATCCCGAAGACAGAAACAAACTGGATTTTTTAAAGAAAGGAATGCAGCTGAATTACCAGCATCACTGGTGAGGAGAAAATGTTCTCTAAAAATCACTGATCTGTGTAGGGGAGAATTAAGTGTTGTCCAGCCATGTTTTAAAAATAGAAAGATGAAGACTATGGAAGAGTGCAAATGTTTGAAGACTATTTTAAAAGCCTGTAAATGCCATGCTATTTATAATTATAGAATTATACATATGTTTTTCTTATTCAGGATTATAGATAACATGCCCGTGACTTGGTGCTACAATGTGGAAGACAGCCTTAAATACTGTAATCCTGGGTTTCCCGTTGGGTGTTACATTGCATCAGATGGCCGGATAAAAGATTTCTGTATGATGAGTGTAAGTGATCAAGGGTATATTTCTCCCAAATTGATTTGAAGAACAATCAGAAACGGGTGTAAGCAGTGGCTTCATGCATGGTTTTGGCTTAGAATATTAGTCGTCCTAGCAAACTCTAGTTTATTCAGTAGTTGTAATGAAAGTCTATATCAGGACTATACCAGGACCTTGGCAACTTTAAGACCTGTGGATTTCAACTCCCAGAATTCCCCAGCCAACCATGCCATCTGAACTAGCAACCTGTGTGGTTCGCAGTTCCTCCTAGGATTAGCAGATGTCCAAGGTGCTGCTGCTGATGCCACAATACGAGTGTGGTATGTTAGCCAGATATTTATCAAGATCCCATGTCGGGGACTGAAATTTATATGCATGGTGGCTGGGGAATTCTGGGAGTTTAAGTTTACGCATCTTAAAAGGATGAAGGTTGAGAAACACGGCCCAAGGTTGAATTCATTTCAGGAAACAATCTTTCAACCATGGGCATTTTGGAAATATTGGGCGTGCCGAAAGGCAGGTTTTAAAACAAGATATTTACAAATTGCATGGGGAAGGAAGGCATACCATGTTCAAAATGGATTTTTATTCAGTTTTTCCCCCCACAGTAAATGCATACAGATACATGCACGAATGAGCTATTTCAAGCTCATGTCAGCCCCAAACACTGTTCTGTCCATCTTTGTTTCATCCAATTCTTTGTTCTTTGGGAATGGGCTCCCTCTGGAAAACTGGTTGGAAATTTATGTAATCCTTAGTGTTTGCAAATCAACAAATTTTTAGGGTATCAGGGTCCATTCCTTTGTTTATGACATAAATTTGGTATGGCTAACTGATGGTATGGCTCTGACTGTTGCTATCTCCCCCCTCCGATTTCATGGTGTCTTCATATCTTTCAGGACGAATTCAACAAGAAGAACACCTTCTACCTCTTCAATCACGTAGACATTACAATCACCTACCACAGTGGCAAAGACGAGAACTGGCCTGGAGCACGGTTAGTGGCAGCTCAGCTGGAGCCCAAAAGGTAAATAGGAAGAGCATTTAGACTTATATATCGCTTCACATTGCTTTATGGCATTCTCTGGTCGGTTTACAAAGTCAGCCTATTTGCCCCCAAACAATCTGGCTCCTCATTTGACCGACCTTGGAAGGATGGGAGGCCGAGCCTGCCTTTGAGACGATGAGACTCGAACTGGCAGCCGCCAGTCAACAGAATTAGCCTGCAGTACTGCATTCTAACCACTGGGCCCCCATGGTAAACTGCTCACTTGCTAATTCTAGTAGGTATTACATTCAGGGCACTAAATAACTAAGTAGCTTTAAGTGATGATTATCCCTTATAGCTTTTATGTATATTGAGAGCTTATGTACCGAAGACAAATTCCTTGTATGTCCAGTCACACTTGGCCAATAAGCCTATTCTATTCCTATTCTATTCTAATTCTAATTTAATTCTAATTCTATTCTTCTAATTCTAATTCTATTCTTCTAATTCTAATTCTTATTCTATTCTAGTCTAATTCTAATCTATTCTAATACTCTATATTCTAATTCTAATGTTTCTAATTCTAATTCTGTTTGAATTCTATATTCTAATTCTAATTAATGTTAATTCTAATGTTCTAAATTCTAATTCTATTAATAGCATTCCTTCTACTAAACTGGCAACCCTCCAGACTGTGTGTGTGTGTGTGTCTGTGTGTCGCAGGCTGGGCATCAACTTCTCCTGATTGATCGGAAGCCCTTTAAAGGTGGCAAGTGAAACCGATCAGCGTTCCTGACCTTAACCGGTGACCCTTGAAGTCTGGATAATCTAGAGATCCTGATTTGCTGGATTTATTTATCTAGTCAATTTATTGAGCTGCCCTGGGCAGGAACTAAGTCGGGCAGCGCACAATTGGCCTTTGTGTGTGTGGTTGTGCGCTCCACAAGAGGGCGGAGTAGGCATGGTCAAGTCCTTTGAACGGCTTTCCTGCTGCCGTTCGGCTCATCTCTGGTTCCTTTGCTGGATGAGGAGGAGGAGGAGGGCATCTAATTGATTCTTTGTCCTCACATGTTTACTAACTCCTATTTTTCCTGTCTTCCCCCCCCCCATCAAAAAACAAATAATATTCCAGAGTCTGAAGGTACTACAAGAGTATTAATAATCTGAAATGATGTGAAAATTGGGAGGGGGGAATGCTCACTGTTGTAATTGCTACAAACTTTTTGGGGTTTGGGAGCAGAATCGTGTTTAATAATGGAAAGAGAAGATGGTGCATTGTTGTGGTTTTAATACAGCTGGTTGTTGAGTTTGACTTCCACTGCAAAAGTTTCATAAAAAAACTTGCCTTCAGAAGTCGTGGGTGTTTCATCCCTGGAGGCTTTCAAGAAGAAACGGAGCAGCCACTTGTCAGAAATGGTATAGCGTCTGCCGCTTGAGCAGCGGGTTGGGCTAGATGACCTCCAAGATTCCTTCCAACTCTGTTATTCTGTTGTAAAGGTGTACCCTTGTGTTATTGATGGCTGGGTTGCTGGGCTCATCAAAACTAGCATATAGAATAGAATATCTTTATTAGCCAAGTGTGATTTGACACACAAGGAATTCGTCTCCGGTTCGTAAGCTCTCAGTGTACATACAAAGAACAAAGTGATCAATCATAAATTATAAGATATAATCAACAAAATAATAGTCATTAGACACCAATAGGAGTAGGTAATAGGAAAGATGAGACAGATAATAATAATACAGTCTATTCTGTGGTTAGCTGTCCTAAGACTGAGTATTTTCCAAAACTTATTTATTCATTAGCATTATTCTTTATGAATATATAGCAGCATAATCTTCTCTTTCTTGCCTGTTTGAATTGTATATTTTCCTTCTTTGAATCTTAAAATAAGATTCTCAGTATATTGATCACTTAGAATACAATATGCATAAAATGGAGGTCTATGATTTTTTTCCATTATCTTGACATTCAGAATCCAGTCGGTGTTTTGGCTTAATTATGATTGTTATAAGCTACAAAAGCCTCTTGTTACATGAGTATTACAGGAAGTAGCCCTAGATCTTAAATAGAGCTTTTGATTTTTAAAAACTGGAACACATTTGAAGGAAGGTCTCTAGATCATTCTGGAAATATGTATATATTTATCTTTGCAGCTTCAAGCATACAGATATAAACAATTTATCCTGTAAGGGTCCCCCTATGGAAATTCCTGCAGAATTTAACAGCAAATTGGATGTGATCTATACATACTCTGTGAAATTTGAAGTAAGTATAACCTGTATATGTACAACCACATCTATTTTAATGATTTTGATGGTTAATGCAGTGATAACACGTACTGAACCTTACAATAAGCTTTTTAATTGTATGTGTGTGTTTTTTTAAGTTATTGTGCTAAGTATAAACAGTATTACCAAAAGTTCCACCCTACAAATATTGTCCATATTTTCTCGAATACATTTTCCACAATTGTTGTACTATGTATTGCCCAATTCTTCCAATGGCCTCACACATAAGAACTGAGCCTTTCTCCTCAATTATTTTTGGCAGTTCTTCTCTACTGCCATTATACCACTTCTTGAAACTTTAAACCACATTTTTGTTTTCAACCTACGTCCATCATATGTCAATCCCAAGCCAAGGTTGAGGGTTTTTTTTCTTAAGAGGTCAAGAAAGTGGTTTGTTACCGTCTGGGTATAAATCATGTTTGTCCCCCCCACCCCCCACGCTGTGGGAAAAGGGCACCCTATTCCATGGGGGTCATGGCCGCAGAGACGACCTGACATTTGAAGTCTGGTAGTCACAGGAATGAAGGTTGTCGTAAAATGTGTAGGAAGTGACATTTGTTATTCTGCTCCAATTTTTCCTCCCCGTGCAGGAGAACAACAATATAAAATGGGCGTCCCGGTGGGACTACATCTTGAAATCCATGCCTCACACCAACATTCAGTGGTTCAGGTAAGACAGCGGCCCCCCAACCTTTGGAGCGCCAGCAACCGGTTCCGTGGAGAGAGAGATTTTTCCATGGACTGAAGACGGCATTGTTTCACAAGCGGTCTGCACCCCGCTTATTGGGTTTCGCTTGTTTACACGGCCCAGTTTCTGGCATGCTATGGCTGGTCCACAGACCAGGGATTGGGCACCCCTGAAGTAGCAATAGCACTTAGACATATATACCTCTTCACAGCGCTTTCCAGCCCTCTCTAAGCGGTTTACAGAGTCAGTCTATTGCCCCCAATAATCTGGGTCTCATTTTACTGATCTTGGAAGGATGGAAGGCTGAGTCAACCTTGAGCCAGTCAGAATCGAACTGCTGGCAGTGGGCAGAGTTAGCCTGCAGCGCTGCATCCTAACCACTGTGTGCCATCAGGAAGGAGAATGAAAAAGGGAATAAGAGGGAGGGAGGGAGGAAGGAATAGCAATAGTATTTAGACTTATATACCGCTTCACGGTGCTTTGCAGACCTCTCTAAGAGGCTTACAGAGTCAGCCTCTTGACCCCAACAATCTGGGTCCCCATTTTACTGACCTTGGAAGGATGAAAGGCTGAGTCAACCTTGAGCCATTCAGGATCAAACTGGCAGATTTAGCTTGCAATGTTTCATCCTAACCACCAGCAAGGAGAATGAGAAAGGGAATAAGAGGGAGGGAGGGAGGGAGGGAGGGAGGGAGGGAGGGAAGGAAGGAAGGAAGGAAGGAAGGAAGGAAGGAAGGAAGGAAGGAAGGAAGGAAGGAAGGAAGGAAGGAAGGAGGGGAGGAAGGAAGGAAGGAAGGAAGGAAGGAAGGAAGGAATAGCAATAGCACTTAGACTTATATCCTGCTTCCCAGGGCTTCACAGCCCTCTCTAAGCAGTTTACAGAGTCAGCAGCACGTATTTTAGTGACTGTTCAAAAGTTACAACAGCCCTGAAAAAAAAGTGACCCTTTTTCACAGCTGCGACTTTCGCCGCATCCCCATGATCCAGATTCAGGCGCTTGGCATCGGCTTCATGCTTATGACTGTTGCTGTGTGTCCCAAAGTTCTCACGATCTCCTTTTGCGGAGAAATCAGATTCACTTAACGACATGTTTCCAACTTAACAACTGCGGCGATTCATTTAACAAATGTGGCAAGAAAGGTCATAAAATGAGGCAAGGCTCCCTCACCAAAGGTCTCACTTAAGAAGTGTTGAGCTTAAGTGGGGGGTCATAAGTCAAGGATTTCCTGTATTTATTTGAGGGATTCTAGTGAAAAATACCCTTTTTTTTTTTATAAAGGCAGGGGGCTTTCCCTGTTTATTCTTGTGGAGCCTCAGCCCAGTTTCTTCCCTCCTGGGAGCCCCTCTTGAGTGTCCAGTTTCACTAAAGAATGCGCCTTTTGAAGAAAATAGACTCGCCTTTATTGTGCTTTCTTTACGAGACTGTCTGAGATGGGGCGGTTGAGCAGCATTCTTTAAAAAAGGGAAAAAAAGAGAAAAGGCACCATGGCTTGCTTAGGGACGTCCTCTCGTTCGCCCTGCAAGACGAAACGCAGCTAACATGGGGGAGAGAAAAAAACGTGGAATCCTTTTGCCTGCTTCTGATTCTGCTTTGAACGTAAATATGTACCAAAATCATTCCGGTGGGGCCGCAAATTCCTAATAAGCGACAGATTAGTGACAAAGATGGATTCATTCCCCCCCCCGCCCCCCCCAAAAATAATTATTATTATTTTGAGCTAAATTTCTTTGGGGAATCCAATAAACTCAAAAAAATTTCTTTTGGGCTAAAATTCTTTGGGGAGACCAATAAACTCAAAGAAAAAAAAAATCTTTTTTTTTTTTTAGTTTATTGGACTCCCCAAAGAATTTCATCCCAAAGGTTCACAATTCCACCCTGAAAACCCTGAGCCTGGTTGTTGTTTTTTCCATCATATTACTGTCCTCTCAGTTTTACAGATCGTCCTCAAGTTCTGTTCTGTTCTATTCTAAATGCTGCGCTGGTGCCTGGAACCGATTTCAAAGTCCGTTTTTCCCCCCTTTAACCCGCAGCATCATGAACTCCCTTGTGATTGTCCTTTTCTTATCCGGGATGGTCGCCATGATTCTCCTGAGGACCCTTCATAAAGATATTGCGAGGTACAACAAGATGGATTCTTCGGTGAGTCAGCCCAAGCTCTTAAGAGCTCTCAAAATGAAAAGAGAACCGACCTTTAATTTTGCGCACACACGCACACACACACAAATACACGGATAAAATTAGCAGCTTGGGAATTTTCTATGCCCATTTTATAGTTGCCAACAGAAAAGAGGGGGGAAGGAGTTTGAAAGAGCGGTGAAGCAGTTTGGAATGGAAAGTGCATTCCATTCATACCTTGCAAAGATTAAAGCTAGGTGACTGGAGTTTCCCTTGTGCAAATCTCTAATTGGAGAACGTGATTGATGACTCTTGGCTATGGACGTGTTTTGTTGGGGTGTGGCACAAAAGCAACGAAGTCACAAAAGTAGGTAAAGTCCCTTTAATACCTCCAACTTGGCCCCCAGTGTCCAGTTATCATCGGCTGGAGAAAAAAACTCTTCCAAGAACAGTTTTTAAAGGGAAGAAATTCAGTCCAAACCCAAAGTACATATAAACTATAAATAAACCGCGCTGCAGCAATTAACGAGACAGGGCAGGATAAGGAATTGCAGACTTCCAGAAGATACTGAAACACACACAGTTGGGAAGACGCTAGAACCCAGATAAGCCTCGGCAAACAAAGATAATGCACAGCAACTTTGCTGTGCGTAGTTTGCCTTTTTAAACAGTTTTCCCAGCTGCAGCTAATGAAGGGGATCAGGGCCCTTTCCTCCCCCGTAAACCACGCAACTCGCGTTGTTCCCTTCTCCGTTCCTCCCTGCGTGCCCTAGGATGAAGAGGGAGGTGGCCCTAGGTCTTCCTCTGAAGGCCCAGCCGGACTGTGCCCTTCCCCAGTTTCCTCCACAGCCAACGGAGCCACACTCCCATTCCCTGTCAGCTGTTCCACTTCTCCCTCAGAATCAGATTCCAACAGGGGCATGACAGAATATGAATTATGACACACCCAGAGGGGTGGTGGGGAAACCAGGGTCAAGGGCGACAGTGAATTACGTGTCTCAGAATTGGCTACATCAAGATCATGCCAATATGTCGCTCCTAATGGATTCTTTGAAGTTTGGCTCAAGACTCATGATGTAATTAGGGCAATCGCTGGAATCCTGACACCTTGATGGATATTGGAGGGGGGGTCAGCTCAGCCTCCATTAATGGAAAGGTTGGCTGCTTCTAATGAACCGAGAGAAGGCAGAATACCTGAGCCCATCTACAATGGTTGTTTGCGTGCTCCTTCAGATGCCTGGCACTAAACCACGATTCAAACCGGGTGCTTGGCTTCACACTTGAACCAGCCCCACTGCAGAGTGGATGTAAAATCTGTACAGTGTTTCTATAGCTGACACTTTGCTTGGTGAATCTCTTCTCTCTCTCTCTCTCTCCCCCCCCCCCCTTTTCTTTTTTCCTTTCTTTCTCATTTGCTCGACTATTTGCTAGGAAGCCCCAGGTGGTCCGCTTGTAAAAACAGTTCCTGCGGCTGATTTAGTGAAGAACTGTTAAAACCGAAACCCAATAGTCCATATTTACTTAACTAATTAAAATGAAAGTCTGCAAAAAAGGGAGGGGGGGGGGAAGAAGCCGGGTTTCCATCAATGGTCATTTGGAGGTAATGAGTAGGCTCGTAGAAACCCTGCTTCCCTAAATTGGAGAGTGCCTGGCTTCATATGAAAGAAATCAAAAGCTCCGCTGCAGTTGACAGTTTGATTTCTTTCTTCCCTCCCTAGTTATAGCCACATTTCCAGTGTAGGCTAGAGTGCAGCTTCAAATGTCTGGGAAAAATAGAAATTTTTGTTGTTGTTTTGTTTTTAGGACAGGACAGGACAATAGAACAGAGAATAGAATGGAACAGGAAAAGAATTATGGAATAGAATTGAATAGAATAGGATTGGAATAGATTAGAATGGAATGGAATAGATTGGAATAGAATGGAGTGGAGTAGAGTAGAATTGATTGGAATGGAATGGAATGGAATGGGATGGGATGGAATAGAATAGAGTAGAATAGAGTGGAGTGAAATGGAATGGATGGAATAAACTGGAATAGAATAACAACTTTATTTGTCACTTTGAATGTACTCTAATTGGCATACATTAAAGTGAAATTTCATTGTGCACCGCTCTCAAAGGGTCACCACCTCCGATAGACACTACATAGTACAACAGAATAAATAAATACTGATAAATACAGAGCCTCGTTCAGATGTATACCTGTACATGGCGAGAAAAACGAATCTTGTGGGTTTTACCAGACAGATGGCCTAGGGAACAAAGCTGTTCCGGAATGTGGAAGTCCTGCTAGAAATACTTTGAAACCTCCTCCCAGAGGGGAGCCACAGAAAACAGACCATGAAGTGAGTGTGTGGGGTCTCTAACAAGGCTTTGAGCTCTAAGCACAGAGCGCTTAAAAGCAGCATCCTGAATACCAGGAAAGGAGCTTTCCCATTCTTCCTTTTTTTTCTTACTATACGAGGACTTTAATTTCTCTAACTGTCCTTGTATCCCCCTCCGTGTCACACAAACTCCTGGATTTCATACGTTGGGGGACATCAGTCCAAGATTCCTTGTCCGTTGCTACGAAGAGGAAAAAAAAAATCCTTTAAATTTACTTCTTGGATTTTCATTATCCTAACAAAGTAGCAGGCTTAGATTTTACTCCGAGCAGAAGATTGAGATAACCAACGTGCATTTCAGCTCGCAAAAGATCTGAACACGGCCCTTATTTTCTTTTGGGAAAATCAGAATTTCTAGAATGGGTGAATATTGTTCCTTATTGAGATCCAGCTTAACAGAGGGCCTGTCGGCTTTGGAAAATAAAACTCCACCTTGGTGAAGAACTAACTAAAGAGGTCCATCAAATTAAAATCCACGGCAGCCTTTTTAGTGAGGGGGGTGGGGCACCGTTGTATTGAAAGGAGAAAGTTTTGTCTTCCCCTGTTTTTATATATGCAATCACTGCCAGCTTTAGATGACTGTTCTTCTTGTGTGTGTGGCTAAATGTGGCATACTCCTTGGTCTGTGATTGTTGTCTGCCCAGGTTGCAATTACCATGGCTTTCTTAAAAAGGCCAGTAGAGTTGAGACACACCTGGGTTGATGGCTTGCTTTTCATTAATGTGCATGCTTGTAGATGTTGGAATGCAGCAAACATTTGTGCAGGTTGGCTGTCCACAGCAGAAGCAGCTTTATCCCGCCATTAAAACAATAATAATAATATTGGGGCTTACATGCCAAATCTAGGCAGAGCGTCTTCCAAAACGTCCCTAATCTCTCTTTGAACAGACTGTCCCTTGATAACGGAGCAGTTGAACTGCGTTGAAACAGGGGCGCACAATAGTTGAACCTACAGGGGATAGCAGTAGCGCTTAGATTTATATACCGCTTCACAGTGCTTCACAGCCCTCTCTAAGCAGTTTACTGTAGAGTCAGCCTCTTGCCCCCCAAACAATCTGGGTCCTCATTTTACCCACCTCAGAAGGACGGAAGGCTGAGTCAACCTTGAGCCTGGTGAGATTTGATCTGCCAAACTGCTGACAGACGGTGATCAGCAGAAGTAGCCTCTAACCACTGTGCCACCGAGGCTCTTAATATTGGGGCTTACATGACAAATCTAGGCAGAGCATTTTCCAAAACATCCCTAATCTCTCTTTGACACAGACTGTCCCTTGATAAACCAGGCAGTTGAACTGCATTGAAACAGGGGTGCGCATTAGTTGAACCTACGGGGGGTAGCAGTAGCACTTAGACTTCTATACTGCTTTGTAGTGGTTTACAGCAAGCTCTGAGCAGTTTGCAATTGTCAGCCTATTGCCCCCAACGATCCTGGTCCTCATTTTAATGACCTCGGATAGGTTGGAAGGCTGAGTCAGCTTTGAGCCCAGTCAGGATCGAAGTCCTGGCAGTGGGCAGAGTTCGCCTTCAATGCTGCACTCTAACAACTGCACTCTATCTGCGGACTCAGTGGGACACTTGGAAAATGTAGGTTCCACAGTTGCCTCTTTCTCCTGTGTGATTTACGTTCATGTCCGCACTACAAACTTGGCTCTCAAAACACCCTGGTGAAAGCATCCTATTTTTGCAAGGAAAAGAGAGAGGAAAAAATAATTGGGAAGAATTGAACTGCATCTCGATCAAGATGCATTGCTGGGGACAAAACCATTGGTAAAATAGAAGCTGGGTTACTTTGGAGATGGCTGTACGGGCAGGGTGGCGTTTAGCATTTCGGCTTGAAATTGTGTTTTCCATTTGGTGAATAGAGCTCTGTTGCTTTTAACGTGGGGGGAGAGAGCAGGAGAATAGGGCACACGGGGGCATCTTCAGATCTGAAATGATTTGGATAATAAAAGACAGATAAATAGGTTAAATGCTGGTGTCATGCATAGCTTACGTTAACCCACCACCGTTGGCATAATTTCCACAAACAGGATGGCATTTGAGCTAGGTTCTGTTTAATGCTGGTTTCTTGTTCCAAGCCTTAATAAATCTACATTATCTGTGTCCCTCCCCTCCTTCCCTTCTCAGCTCACCTTTGGGGAGTTGTAAAATCGGCACGTTAACAATGCCGATGAAATTAGACCCTTTTAGTAATAACAAACTCCCCCCTGCCCTCCCCCCCCAAAGATAATCAGGCTGGCAAAGCGACTGTCACGCCTGGCGTGTGCTCATTCCCTGTTGCGTGGGGCTCGTCTAATCCTGATGTTATTACAGGAAGACGCACAGGAGGAGTTTGGGTGGAAGCTGGTCCATGGAGATGTGTTCAGGCCGCCCCGGAAAGGCATGCTGCTCTCCGTCTTCCTTGGCCAAGGGACGCAGATTTTTATCATGACGTTCATCACTTTGTGTAAGTGTCGCTTGATGGGCTAAAATGGGGAGGGGGGGCGGAGTTTGCGATGCTAGCAAAAAATATTGGACAAGGGTTGGTAGAAGGGTGCCATCTGCGTGTGCCAGCCCAGTTAGATTAAACCATTTTTTTTTCTTTTTAACAACCCTGTAATTCTTTGCCTCTGGGTGAAATCTGGGGCGACTGAATAGAGCTGAGCGTTTACTGGCCGGATGCCCTTCCTGACACCCACATGCAGCTCACAGCAGACTTTTTTTTTTCTGTACGCCCAGAGAGAGAAATATTTGCTGCTTACCCAGGATCGAACTCACAACCTAGAGACAAGAGCTTCACCTCTAGGCCACCACACTGTTCTGTTAGATTAAACCAAATATATCAGAATCGGAATCCAAACAACCACCAATAAACAACAATCAGAAAGAATTGCAAAGTTGTTTGCTTACACCTTGAAAGAGGTTTGGCAACTTTCCTCCAAAGCTCGGAATGGAATCTTCAGCTTCTTTGGGAAGAGTGGGGGGAGATTATTTTTGGATTGGGTAGGGAAGGCAGGCTCTTAAAGACACAGGTGTCCAACCGTGGCAACTTTTAAGACTCGAGGACTTCAACTCCCAGAATTCCCCAGCCAGGCTAGGATAGACCTTTTGAAACACTGAAGAATTATTTTCCAGTCGGTGCAGTTGATCCTTTCTTTGTTCTGTAAGAAAATGACGTGGAATCTCACTTCTCCCAACACTTCCTTGTTTGTCTTCCTTCCAGTCCTTGCCTGCCTCGGTTTTCTCTCCCCAGCCAACCGAGGGGCTCTGATGACTTGCGCAGTGGTGCTTTGGGTTTTGCTGGGGACCCCAGCAGGCTATGTATCGGCTCGAATGTACAAAAGTGAGTATGTTGTGGTGTGTTTTGGCTACAGCTGCCTAAGAGGTAGAGAATTTGGTGGGATGGAGTCGTTCCACATTCTTCCTTGGCTAAACCTCTACAGCAGGCGGTCGCCAAACGTTTGGATCTCAGGGAGCACCAAACTCATAAGTTTAAATCCCAAGGACCAGAGACCCTGGGAAAATCCCCCCAAAAGTCTGCAGGAAAATTCCCCACCCCATTTTCCTACCGATCGATCGTTCTTTATTTGGGATCACAGGATACCATTTCCAGCTCCGTTCTCGGGGGGAGAGAGAGAGAGAGAGACTTTTGGCTTCATGCAAGGAAAGCAGCAGAAGCAGCAGAAGTCTTTCTTTCTCTCCCCCAAACTCCGCCAGAAAGGAGTCTTTGCTGGCGCAGCCTCTTGGAGCAGGAGGCCTCGCAGGGTCCCAAAGACTCATATCTGGCGGGATTTGGGGGAAAGAAAAAGACTTTTGCTGCTTTCCTTGCATGCAGCTAAAAGCAGAAGAAGAAAGAAGCAGCCCAGTATGGCCAGGCCAGGCGAGGCACGTGGGGCAAGTTCCCCCCTCCACCCTTTCCCCCCTCCCTTCATTACCTTGTGTCATTCGCAATGTAAGCGACGCAAAGCCTTGTGTTACCACGGGCCATGTGGGCGACGCAAAGCCTTGTGTTCCTGCACAGCCTGGATTAATTGCTTTGGGGGGGGGGGTGCTTTGAGGGTGACATTTCTCTGCGGACCACTAAAATTTTCTCGCAGATCACCAGTGGTCCCTGGCTCATTGGTTGGTGACCACTCTCTACAGCAGGGGTGTCCAATCTTGGCAACTTTAAGACTTGTGGATTTCAACTTCCAGAATTCCCCTAGCTGGCCGGGGGAATTCTGGGAGTTGAAATCCACAAGTCTTAAAGCTGCCAAGATTGGACACCCCTGTTTTTACAGTTTGCGTCTCTGCTAATGATCATCTCAGGTCTAATGAGGACAGAGGCTGCAACCACTCCCTGAAGATTCGAAAAAAAATAAATCACCTTTGCAATAATTGTGTTCCCCTTTTTCAGGTTGCTTTAAAAACCTCAGAGGCTTAAAAAAACTGCCAGTTAGATGGCACAGAGAGATAAGGTGGCAACAACAACCTGGCTGGCGCTAAGCTAATCAATTTAATTTTAATTTTCCAGAGATGATAAATGATGAATGATATATTCCAAGGGTGCTTTTTTTTTTTTTCAAACAGGCGACTGGACTTTCTTTGTTTTTCTTTGAAGATGTTTCACTTCTCATCCAAGAAATTTCTTCAGCTCTGAAGAAATGTCTTCAAAGAAAAACCAGAAACTCCAGTCGCCTCTTGAAAAATAAAAAAGCACCTTTGGGACAACCATGACCTGAATGTTTGAGAATCTCCATGGATGAATGATACAGAAATGATAAATGGCGTTATTTCTTTTCTTTCTTAGCATTCAGAGGTGAAAAATGGAAGACCAATGTGTTGTTGACAGCTCTCTTCTGCCCTGGGTTAGTAACCACACCCCCTTTTTGATAAACAGAACATATTTTTGTCCTTGAACCTGAGTTAATAAGGCTATATGAACATGGTTAACTTAGGGTTCCCAAATTCAATTGATTGCATGTGGCCATTGCAATGACTGCAGGATGAATTATTTTCTGTGCCTCTATTTTTTTTTCTTCGTTCTTTTAAAAATACATTGAACTTTCTAGAAAACCCAGCAGATTGTCCTGTTGGTTTGCTCAGTATGAAAGAGGTACTTTTTAAAACAGATAATAACAAATGACCATTTGCAAAAGTCCTGACTTATTTAGCAATATCCATTTTGGGCTCAATTGTAGATGTTAAGTTGAGGACTATCTATATTGTAAATGCCAGCCAGTTGCTGAGCCCCTGAAATGTGAACACGTGACTCATGAGGCTGGGGTGACACTCGTAACTTTGAGGACATAGGTCGTGAATCATTTTTTCTGAGACTGTTGTCACTTCGAACCATCATTAAACGTATGGTTATAAGTCAAGGACTACTGCATCTGAGGTGGATGCATAGGCAGAGATGGATTGGATGGTTGCTGTTCATCGTTGCAATCTCATAATATCTAGCATGACGGTCCCCAAAGCAGAAGGGTAACATATAATAGTCTACAGTTCTACAGAGGAACTATTGGGTCCGTCATCTGTACCTCTATAACTGTCTGGTTTGGTTCTGCAACCCAACAAGACAGACACAGACTCCAGAGAGTAATTAGGACTGCAGAAAAAAACAATTACTACCAACCTGCCTTCCATTGAGGACCTGTATACTGCATGAGTAACAAAAGAGGGCTGTGAAAATATTTACAGACCCCTCACATCCTGGACATAAACTGTTTCAACTCCTTCCCTCAAAATGATGCTATAGAGTATTGCACACCAGAACAACTAGACACAAGGACAGTTTTTCCCGAAAGCCATCCCTCTGCTAAACAAATAATTCCCTCCACACTGTCCAACTATTTACAAAGTCTGCACGACTCTTACTATTAATCTTCTCATCACTCCTTATCACCCATCCCCTCCCACTTGTGACTGTATGACTATAACTTTGTCTCTTCTATCCTTATGATTTATATTGACTGTTTCCTAGTATGATTTGATTGCTTATTGTACCCTAAGACTACCATTAAGTGTTCGATTATTTGTATCGTATGACTATTAAGTGTTGTACCTGATGATTCTTGACAAATGTATCTTTTTTAATGTACACTGAGAGCATATACACCAAGACTAATTCCTTGTGTGTCTAATCACACTTGGCCAAGAAAGAATTCATTCATTCATAACTCAGATAAAAGATTGTCTATTTACAAACCAACGAAAGGTTATTTTTGGATAGCATCCACCATCCTTTGTAGTCTGTGGATCTATGTAGCTGGAGGAGTCCCAAAGGTGCTTTTTCCAAAAAGGACTTTCTTGGTTGTTGGGTTTTTGTTTTTTTTTGTTCCCTTGAAAACGTTTCGCTTCTCATCCAAGAAACTTTTCAGTTCTTCTGAAGATCTGAACTGAAGAAGCTTCTTGGATGAGGAGTGAAACATTTTCAAGGGGGGAAAAAGCAAGAAAATCCAGTTGCCTTTTGCCAAAAACACCTTTGGGACAACCATGACCTGGATGACTGAGAATCTCTTTGGTGTTCAAAATGGTGGATACCCGGACTGTGTTTTTTCCCCCCCTGTGCCTGAGAATTCTCCAGATCCTTCCAAGATACTCCTGCAGTGAATCCCAACCCTTTTGTGCTAACTCTGGCCCTCCTTCTGTTCCCGCAGGATCGTCTTTGCCGACTTCTTCATTATGAACCTTATCCTCTGGGTGAAGGGATCTTCCGCCGCGATTCCTTTCGGAACCCTGGTTGCGATCTTGGCCATGTGGTTTGGCATATCCGTCCCGCTCACCTTCGTTGGTGCTTATTTTGGGTTCAAGGAGAAGGTAAGTGAGGAGTGAAACGTGCCGTTTTAGTATTTGGAGAATCCTCACTTTTTTTTCTGAATTCGGAACAGCCGCCGGTTCGAGTCCAGAGAATTTGGGAGGGATGTTTCTGTGGGTCGTTACGGGCTACAGAATTACAACCCTACTTTGGGGGGAGGCGGTGTTGCCGTAGCATCCATCTTCAACCTAGGGCCCTCCAATTTTTTTTGGGGGGGGGGGTGTCTCACAGTTGGAAAAAAGAGAAGAGAAATAATAGCAATGGAAAAAAAAACAGATCTCGAATTCCAGCCGATTATTCGGGGATTTTGCAAATTTAAAATTAGGGCCTTGGAATTTGTGTGGGGCGAGGGATTTGAGGCAAGGCACATTTTTCCTTTGTGTTAGGAATAGCTCTGTGCCAGGCTGGAATACTTTATTTGCATTTCTTAACAACAAATCAGTATTTTTTTTTAAACTTTTTTGGCAAGATTTTTCTCCTCCCATTTTCCTTCGGGCTTGCTTTTTGTTTTTTCTTAGTTGTACTTTTCTTAGCTGTGGGGCAGGACGGGCAACTCTAGACTTTACATCCTGTGGACTTCAACTCCCAGAATTCCCTGCTGGCTCAGGAATCCTGGGAGTTGAAGCCCACAGGTTGTAAAGTTGTCCCAGTGTCAGCGTTCCAAGTAATACACCCACAGTGAACTCTGAGGCAGGTAGATTCCTCACAGAACAGTTTTATTTGGAGATACCATATTGGCACAGGCTAGTGAAAACCGACTCTAAAGGTTCTGGTGGTTTTCGCCCAATTAAAAGCTTTCCCCCTTTCCCAAACAGTCACATGGTCCAATCAAAGCGCTGTCTGGTTGCTTGGTAACACCACTCCTCCCCTCTTCAGCCACCTGTGTTGGAACGTCCTTGGTTCCCCCAGCTGTCTCTATTCCCCACCCTGCCTATCCCTCATCTCCTTTGTGGCAACACTGAAGCCTCAAAAATGGGCCTCAGTCGGGCCGGCTTCAGAGTTGACACCCAACTTTCCTAACGTGGCCCCGCTGAGGTGGCTCAGACCCCCGTTTGCAACCCATTCGCACACACGTGTGCGCACGCATTCATGCACACGCACAAAGGACACATTATTGTTGCCAGGCGTGATAGTTAATTCAAGCAGAGGAAAATGCTGCTCTAACTAAGCTCCTGGACTGCTCTCCTCAGCCCCTCGAGCATCCCGTGAGGACGAACCAGATCCCTCGCCAGATCCCCGAACAATCCTTTTTCACCAAGCCTCTGCCGGGCATCGTCATGGGTGGCATCCTGCCCTTCGGGTGCATCTTCATCCAGCTCTTTTTCATCCTGAACAGCATTTGGTGAGTTGCTTCCCCCCCCCCCCCCTTTTCCATGCTCCGGATCTGCTCTTACGGAGAATCAAATGTGGCTACGGGCTGACCCAAATGCCTTTCCCCCCCCGCCTCTCCCTCCATCTCAGGTCTCACCAGATGTACTACATGTTTGGCTTCCTGTTCTTAGTCTTTATCATTCTCCTGATTACCTGTTCAGAGGCCACCGTCCTGCTTTGCTACTTCCACCTGTGCGCTGAGGTAAGCAGAAAAAATCGGTTCGAGGCCCAGGGGCGTGTGTTTATTGTTTATTTACTTTATTAAGTTGCATCCCACCTTTTATTGTTTTGAAAATAAGACGGCACGCATATCCAACACACCTCCTATTTTCCCCACAACAACCTTGTGAGGTGGGTTTTGCTGAGACAGGGAGAGAGAAAGAGAGAGAGAGAGAGAGAAAGAGAGAGGGAGAGAGAGAGAGGTGTCCATACCCAGCTGGCTTTCATACCTAAGACAGGACTAGAACTCACCATCTCCTGGTGATTGGCTCAAAGTCACTTAGCCAGTTTTCATGCCTAAGGCAGGACTAGAACTCCCTGCTTCCCGCTTTCTAGCCCAGTGCCTTAACCCCTAGACCAGGGGTGTCCAACCTTGGCCCCTTGAAGCTGGCTGGGGAATTCTGGGAGTTGAAGTCCGCCAGGTTTCAAGGGGCCAAGGTTGGACAGCCCTGCCCTAGACCCAATCGGCCTTCTGCATTGTTACAGCAGACCAGTGGTAGCTGGTCATTCTGGTGTCTTTCTGCTCCTTCTGCATACATGAAGCTGCGTCAGGCGGATTCGTGGGTTGTCTGGGCTTCCAGTGGGTGAGGCATTGTTCCCTGGAATGAGAAGCTGGTGACACATTGTCTGCCACGCCAGGAGTCCCTTTCCCATAATAAGCCTCTGGGGATCTGCAACTGTTTTAAAAGTGGCAATAAAGGAAAATACTTACACATGGCAGCAAAAGGCCAAGGGAAGGAAAACCGGGATGTTTTTCTATTTGCTGTTGCCAGCCCGAAGGCCCGTGACCGTTTCCAGTGCCCAGCTGGCCTTCTCGGCGTCCCGTCATTTAAAAAAAAACAATGCATCTGCCAGCCAGATGGAGCTTATAAAAAAAGCAGGGCCGGTCCCCCAACGTGCATTTCCTAGGATTTTATTTTTATTTTTTTTAGGGTTTTTATGCCCAACTAAACAACCCTATTAAAGCATGGAGCCGACATACCGGTCTTAAACTGCGTAGAGCAGGAATTAAAAAGCGGGGAAGCATGATTGCTTCTCTTCCTGTCCCTTTTTTGCAGAAGAAGGGGGAAAAAAAAGGAATGCAAAGATTTAGGGAACGTGCCAGGATTAACTCGGAAATCAGAAGGATCTATCAGAGGTTGAGTCAATTCTATCACCATGATAAATGGAAAATTCATTCCACAGATACAAGGAGACCCTTAAAAGAGGCAGCAAGAGACCGTTAGGTTTTTCTGGGGACACATTTTTACAAACGTTCTCCAGATGTATCTGAAGGACCACAAGTTTGGTGTAAGAAACTCTAAATAATTAGCTTCCTTTTCTCAATTTGCGTCATGCCCCAGTTAATGGACTTTGGAATTCTAATTAAAAACAACTATCTCTTCCCTGGCTCTTAACACCAGGAAACTTTTTTCCCCCCTCTGCCTCCTACATATTTGCTCTTCTCGTTTGGGTTCCTAGGATTATCACTGGTGGTGGAGATCATTCCTGACCAGCAGTTTCACTGCTGTTTATCTCTTCATCTACGCCATCCATTATTTCTTCTCAAAACTCCAGATTACTGGTATTGCTAGCACCATCCTGTACTTTGGGTATACTATGATCATGGTTTTGATTTTCTTCCTGTTCACAGGTAAGTTCCTTCTGACGTTATCCAAACCCACCCCTGTTTGGGAAAAATCCAACCATAACCAGGCAGAATTTGCTGTTTAACCATGATTTGTATCGCTTTCTTTTGGTTTTGATCCAGAAAGAGTACAGAGAAGAGCAACCAGGAGGATTAGGGGACTGGAGACTAAAAAAATATGAAGAACGGTTATAGGAACTGGGCATGGCTAATGTAGTGATGAGAAGGACCAGGGGAGACAGAATAGCATCTCCCAATATTGGAGGGCCTGCCCCAGAGAGGAGGAAGGGGGTCAAGCTATTTTCTAAAGCAAGGCCAGACAAGGAATAATGAATGGAAACTGATCAAGGAGAGACTCAACCTGGAAATAAGGAGAAACTTTCTGACAGTGAGAACAATCAACCCATGGAAGAGAAGTTGCTTCATCACTTGAGATCTTCAAGAAGAGATTGGACTCCCATCTGTCAGAAATGGTGTAGGGTCTCCCGCTTGGGCAGAGGGTTGGACTAGATGACTTAAAAGGACCCTTCCAACTGTGATTATCTGTTATCTGTTTATCCGATTTTTGCACCCAAGGAAACAAAACAGAACCCAGTCGGTAAATGGCTTTAAAATTGGGTATATCAGATGTGCCGACGGCTTTCCAGACTGGCTGTAATTAGAGAAGCAGCTTCTGTAAATATGTTCCTTAGAAATGAGGGTTTCTCTTTGTTGAGACCAGTCCCTCGATGCCACTGCTATTTCCCTCATCCAGGATAACTTGTGAGATCACTGTCTAATGCCTTGGGGCACATCTCCCCCTGATTAATGTTCTATTGAATAGTCACTTTTCCCAGGCGGCGGAGGAAAAAATTAGGTGCTTAAGCAAGCTGCAGTTTGCTACTGTTCCTTACAAAGGGGGACCATCTGGAGAAGCTAGTAATTCATCCACCCGACAGGTATTCCTCAGCTTAGGACCACCGTTTGAAGTCTCAAAAGTGGCCGCATTTGATCCAACCGTACGTTGTACGAGTAGACTTATGACCAAAATTTGAGCCTCAAATAGTATGTTGCTAAGCGAGACATTCATTAAGTGAGTTTTGTGCCCCGTTTTACGTCCTTTCTTGCCGGTTGTTTAGTCAGCAGGTTGGCTTTCCCCCTTGACTTTGCTTGTTGTCAGAAAGTCCCAAAAGGATGTGACGCACACACACACACACACACACACACACACTGGCCATACTGCGACTGTCATAAGTACACGCTGGTTGCCAAGCCTCTGAATTTTGATCCTGTCACTGCGCTGGACGCTGCCGCCGTCGTAAGGGTGAAACATGGTCATTGTAACTTCAAACGGTCGCTAAGCGAACTCTTGTAAGTTGAGGAATGCCCGTATTTACATTATCTTGTGCATTCAATACTTGACCAAGAGAAAAGTTTTGTTCTTAGAACTTTTCTCTTAGTCAGGTATTCACTTCAGGGGTGGGGGGAGAAAATAAATAAATCCAGGGTCAAATTACTTATCTCTGTTCTCCACCCTGGCAGATAATCAGTTCAAGATTTTAACCCTCTTTGCGTCTTCCTTTCTAAAAAATAAAGAGATTTATTCATGTTTTGCAGGAACCATCGGTTTCTTTGCTTGCTTCTGGTTCGTCAGTAAGATTTACAGCGTGGTGAAAGTTGACTGAAGAAATCCCCAGGTCTCGCTTTTCGAACCCGCATCTTGAGTTGCTGGAGACCTTGAGGCATTAACCATGTACAAAAGACACAAAAGCATTTCATCTTCAAATAGTTAAGATATACCCAGAGCTTCTATCTTGGCACCAGAAAGGGCAGGTTTTAAATGGAATGGACATAAGTAGCGTGGATCCTTCTGAAAAACCCGACTTGCTTTTTTTCTTCTTCTTCTTCTTCCAAACCCTTCATCCAGAGATGATGATGATGATGGTTTTTTTGTCGATTGCTTGGTTGCTTTGCTTGAAAAAGAGCAACCCTGATTTCATAACAAAAAGCCAAACGCATTATGTTCGACACTCCCGGTGGAGAATTCTCGTAAAAATCTTTTGTTTTGTACATGGTTAACTGATTATTCTATCACGGAAGAGGGCTGCCCGGTTTAAGCAAAAAGAGAAAAAAAAGTGACTTTTAAAATCAATTTTGGATCTCTTTCAGCCATTCAATGTCTAGTGCAGATTTCTGAGGGGTGGGAGGGAAAAAAAAGCGCCAACATTTCCTCTTGTTTTAAATAAAACATCCCAATTCCAGCAGCCTGGCGTTGTTTCTGTTTCACCCGTTGGTGATTGATCGCATCAAATTCAAGATATGGAAGAAACGGTCTTTTATTGACTCATGCAACGGGTATTCCTGTCCCCTATTGACTGTGCTGGTTTAACAGACATTTTTGTGTTTTTTTTCACAGAAGGCACTATCTTGCTAAGTAGTCCTCAACTTATGACCAAAATTGAGCCCGGAATCATAGCGGTAAATCTTGCGGTCGCGAGTTGAGGCATCCTGACCCGTATTTCATTTGAGTTTTGCATGTGCTTCCCTGCCTTCAGGGGAAGAAGGGAGTTTTAATTCACAAATAAAAGCCAATCTACATTTCCCAGGATAATAACGTTGCAGGATCCAATCTGGGTCGGTCACCAAGACCAGAGGTTTTGCCTTTTGAGCTTTCGGCCTCATTCTCAGAGAACTTCTCTCTACCCAGGTTTAGTTTCTGCTGCTTCTTTTCTTTAAATAGTTCTAAATAAGAACTATTTGAGCACAAACCTTACTCTCGACACATGGTGGATGTTGGACCGCAGATGGTTAGCCTTGCATGAATTTTGCTGCTATTTATACTTGGCCAACTTCTGTTTTTCTCTCTTTATGCTGCTGTCTTTTAGCTGTTTTGAGTGGGTGGGCAGACAGTACAGGCGGTGTGCAGTACTGTATATTGAATGCAGCGATGCCCTGTTAGGGTCTTCCAGGCATTCTCTTTTAAACTGAGCCCTTATTTTTATCGTTTTATTTAAAAGATGATGAGAACCACCTCGTTTTGAGCTCATCTTAATGTTGGAGCAGAATCCAGGCTAAAATTTTCATATGTTCTCAGATATATTTTTTTTCCAGCAAATAAGACCAGAAATTTCTGCTTAATGTAAGTGAGAATCTAATCTAGCAAGAGATAATACTTGGTGTAAATGTAAGGGTTGTATATTTGGAAAAGCAAGTCTTGAGTCCTTCTTCCATATTGACGAGTAAATTTTGTGGAATATTCCAGTTCCCAGTTTCGGGTTGTTGTTTTTTAAACAGCAGAACTGGTTTTAAAGTGTGGCATAATAATATGAAGCTTTAATGACTGGAATAGCCCCAGATCCTCTTGCTGCCCTTATGACACACAGAGAGAGAATTTGAGATTGTGACACAGAATTATTTGGCTGATAAATAAAATATTAATCACTATATGGTTACTTGGCATAAGCTCTCCCACCATATGCCAGTTTCTATCACATCTCTTAAAATTATAACACAGAACTTGGAAAGATACGTAAAATATAGCCACTTAACCTCTTAGCTTGACAGAAAGGGGTGAAAAAAGTAGATTTGTGTCTTATGTTGAGACACACCGTGGTTTTTTTTTTAAAAAAACCCTCACAATTGGTTTGATTCATGCCTTACAAACCACAATTCTAAGTGTCTGGGGCCCTTGTTATTTGGCCAAAGCAAAATGGTTTGCAAAATTATGAATTCTAATGTTATTTGCTACTCTGAGGTTTATTCATTAAGCCAGGGCCAAACTCATTGGAGCTGTACACGATGTATGGAGAGAACTAACTCTTGTGCCATTGGTGATTTTTCTAATTACTTTTGTCGTGGAATTTGGTGTGCTGCATTGTTCTGAGGGCTCAGCTAATCGTAGCGCAGACATTTTTGACTGTTTTATATACTTGCTGTTACAAACTGAGAATTTGGAAAGGGTGATGCAATGTCCAAATTTGAGGGTGGTTTCATTGTCCTCTGCGGAATTTGCTGCCTCAAAACAGGATGGTGGGTTAGGGCTGACCTCAAAATGGTATAAAATTGACCATCGCCAACCTGATACTGTGTGTTTGGACTACAGTTCCCAGAATTTTGTGGCTATGGCCAAAAACGATACCAACTCATTTAGGGGCTAACAGGTTGGTGAAGAGACAACCTAGAGGCAGGAGGGTTATTTGAGTTTGAATTCTTTATTGTCATTGTACGTATATACATAGTACACACGCAACAAAATTCACAATTAAATTATCACATCTGAGCAAGGAAAATTCATTTATTGGCCCGTCTTCTCAGGAATGGCAGATTTTCTGATCAAACAAGACTCGTCTCTTCAACGTCTAGAATGTCTGCTGACAGCCAATCTCATTGTACAATGTTGTACTCTGACAATAAAGGTAATAATAATATGTTGGAAACCTTCGACTTACAACCACAAACGATCCCCCGAATTTCTGTGGCGAAGGGAGACACTCGTTCGGTGAATTTTGCCCTGTTTCACGATCCTTTCTCGCCAAGCAGTTCAGTGACATTTGTAACACCGTTGTTAAGTGGAAATCTGGCTTTGCCACCGACTTTGCTTTCAGAAATGACCTCGGGACACTGACCGTCATAAATATGAACCGCTTGCCAAGCCTCTAGATTTTGATCACAGGACCATGCGTGGGGATGCCACACTTCACATAAAACGGTCCAAAGTCACCTTTTCTGTTGCAGTTGTAACTTCGAAAAGTTACTAAACAAGTGGCTCTTAAGTCAAGAACTAACTGCACTTTAGAATTGATCTGCCTAGTGGTAAATCCGACAATTGTTTTTTAAGCTAAGTAAATAAAGGCAATATTTACTTGTTCACTAAGTGTAGACCGGTTTTGGCCATAGTTGTGAAACACGACAGAGCCAGTTTTCTGAGCGGCCGGTGCCAGAAGTTTTAATACGGAAACCTCTGTAATGGCAACATAATTTATTATCTGTTTGTAACCGAAGGAAAAACACTCCGAAGTTCTGGCTCACCACATGGCAAACTCAAGATTTATAAACTTCAGGGAAGGGTGGAGAGGCCTTTAGGTGGCTCTTTTCTTGCCGTAAAACCACAAGATTAATCCGTTGTGCTTGTTGGCCATATTTTTGTCTTTTGTTTTACTTTTCCCTCTTGTGCTGCTTGTCAACAGGCCTGATATATTGAAAGCCCGTGGAGCCATTGTTAAAATGCCTTGCGCTATATGGGGCAGAAATGCTATATGTACTTCTTTTTTTTAAACATCTCGGGAATAGCAAATAATGAGCAGATCAGCTCATAAATGGGGTCCGAGCGCTGACTAAAATGGTATTTTCTATTTCAAAAACAAAAATTAGAGTCAAGTTGTAGAAAAATAGAATAGAATAGGAATTCTTTTATTGGCCAAGTGTGATTGGACACATAAGGGGTTTGTCTTGGTGCAAATGCTCTCAGTGTAGATAAAAGAAAAAAGACATTCGTCAAGAGTCAAGAATCATAAGGTACAACACTTAATAATAGTCTTAATAAATGACACTTATCAAAGCTAAGCTGGTAATTTATTGGTTGTGTTGCTTTTCAGAAATCGTGGCGTGGCCTAAGGCAGGGCTGTCCAACCTTGGCAACTTTTAAGACCTGTGGACTTCGACGCCTAGAATTTCCCAGCCAGGTTGGCAACATAATAAGTCCACAAGTCTTAAAGAGAAGAGCAATAAATAAGATCAGAGGATTGGAAACTAAAACATACGAAAAAGAGTTGCTGGAATTGGGTATGTCTAGTCTGATGAAGGGCCAGGGGTGACATGATAGCAGCCTTCCAATATCTCAGGGGCTGCCCCAAAGAAGAGGCAGTCAAGCTATTCTCCAAAGCACTTGAGGGCAGGACAAGAAACAATGGATGGAAACTAATCAAGAGGAGCAACTTAGAACTAAGGAGAAATTTCCTGACAGTGAGAAGAATTAACCAATGGAACTCCTTGCCTCCAGAAGTTGTGAATGCTCCAACACTGGAAGTTTTTAAGAAGAGATTGGGCAACCACTTGTGTGAAATGGTATGGGGTTTCCTGTCTAAGCAGAGGGTTAGACTAGAAGACCTCCAAGATCCCTTCCAACTCTATTATTCTGGCAAGATTGGACTCCTCTGCCCTAAACTGTAAAAGAGAGGAACTGGGAGACTTGGGCGCAAATGTGTAAATCTACCCAATTAATCAACACGATTAGCAGAATCATAGTTTGCACCGTTAGCACAGTTAGGGGTTGTTTTTTAAGCCGCCTCCAGTATGTCTCCATTGTTTATTCGAACAAGCCATGCAGGAATGTATTCAAGCAACAAACCTTCAGGTAATATAAATGCCCAGATCCAGAAATAATTTATTTAACAACAATGACTTGCTGAAAACCTTAGCGCTGCTCAATATTTTCCAATCCCTGCCACCTCTTTTTGGAAAGGAAACTTTGGAGATATAACGGTATTGTTCGTCAGAGGCAGAAAAGAAATCTCCATTTTACACTTCCACTCCTGTCTTCTCTTCAACAGGAACTAATAAAATTCATTCTAACGAAGACTTAAAAAGACCGGAAGAAAAACATAAGAAAAACCAAGGGCAGAATTCGGCTTTCTGTTTTCACCTGCAAGCAGCTGAATTTGGCATACTTTTGTGCATCAGACCTGCTGTGTTTTCATCAAGGAGAGAGAGAAAGAAAGAGAAAAAAAGAAAGAGAGAGAGAAAGAGAGAGCGTGATTACAGTCACTGGGTCAAGGTGAAACCAGATTGTGGAGGGGGAAAAAAGAGAGCTTTCATTGAAATGCAAATGTTGCCGTAATAGAAAAAGAGGAGTCCACAAATTACAGGCAATTTCTTTCATTCGAGAATAAATGTCCCATTCAGCTTTCTTTAAAAAAAATTCTTTTCCGCCAATCGGAGAGCATTATTTATAGAGTTGAGTTGCCAGCGGTGGGTGGGGTGGCATAAAAGGCTGGAATAAAGCGTTAAAGAAAAAAGAGGGTATAAAACTTATCGTGCAAAGCAAGCAAGATCAAGATTGCTGAGTTTCATGTCTATGGAGATTCTCAGCCATCCAGGTCATGACTGTCTCAAAGGTGCTTTTTTAAAAAAAAAAGGCAACTGGACTTTCTTGGTTTTTCCCCCCCTCTTTCTCTTGAAGACATTTCACTTCTCATCTGAGAAGCTTCTTCCGTTCTGGAGCTGAACTGAAGATGCTTCTTGGAGGAACTGAGGAAGCTTCTCG